AAGCAGTGTCGGGACACTTTATAATATATATAATGTGTAATGCGGGTTGATGACATACGGGATTTGAGAGGAGAAGGGGGGGGGGGTCCCCAACGGAATGTTTCATTCATAATAATGTTTGACCGCGGGAAGGGGAAACGAACGACAAGACAGTTTTCGAAAAACGTTTCGCTTATTGACCAAATGCAAACAAAAAAACTTCATCATAAAAACATCATACGAATGCAAAAATAGTATTGTATACGTTCATTAAAGCACTTTTTTTTTTCAGAATTTTCCACGTGAGTCATGAAAAATGTTTCAGCCAGACGGAAGAAAAAATTTCAATGAAATGTTTTATAAGATTTCTGTTTGACATCAAAAAATTCGTACGCAGTGTTTTACAAATATCAGAATGGAAATGGCGGGCGACATTCAGAAACAGTATAGTCACCTCTAAAAAAAATGTTTGAAGGCTTAAATAGACTGAAAATGAATTGAGGAAATTCTGCTTTTTGGGACAATTTGTTTTTGGTGGATATTATTATAGAAAATCAATAAACATTTAAAAAATGGCGAGCAACATTGTGCCGGAAGTCTACCACCAGTATCTGAAAAGCATACGCCATCCTGACTCATCAAGTGTTTTCTATAGACAAAAGAAAGGACATATTTTAGAAGAGCTCAAAAAAATGAAAACGAGCAACACTTGTCAGTCAATTCAGAAGCACGCGATGAAATTCATCAAAAGTTTGATTAAATATACAAAGCGCTGGTTTCATTTGTGACTCATTTATAATTAATGAAAAAAAAACACGCTCACAAAACTTTGGTTGAGAAGCGCGCATGTTGAAACAAAACGAAAATGAGTTTCGAAATGAAAAACGCGAAAACTAGCGCGAAATTGCCTGGGATTAGCCGACCTTTTTTGGCGGTGTTTTTTTTTAGTCGAAATAAAATTTTTTGTGTAAATGCGCCTGAAATGTGATGTTTCTGAAATTCAAAATAACTAAAAAATATATAAAACAGATTGAGAAAAAATTCAAAACAACAGCGAGGCCAGTGCACTGATTCATACACACTCACGCAAAATTGCACACATTTGATAATGTTTAATGAGGTCATTTTTCAATTTCTTTTTCAATGTTTCTATGATTCATTTCTTTCTAAATAACTTGAAAAATTTTAAAAACTGAATTCAGAAAAATATTGCAATTAAATTTTAGTTGAGAAAATATTTAAAGTATTTTTTTTTATCTCAACCTAATAGAGGTGAGATTTTCACATCAAAAGAAAAACACTTGCCTGACCACAGCAAAAAATAGTGTAAAAATTTGTAAGAGTAAGCCCAATCAAGCAAATATATGATAAAAAGTAATATTGGGCTAGCATTGGACGACGATTTGAGATCAAATAGAAAAAAAACCATCCAAGCAGTGTAATCCATGCAATGCAAATGCAAAGTTTGGTTATGGAAGGAAACGCGCGAAAATTGAAGACAATTGTACATACATATAATAACAACAAATGACCGCGCAAGCAGCATAGGAATTGATATCAAATGAATGAATCGAATTGAAACAGGAAGAGTGTGGCTACGTCGTAAAAATATAAAATTCATAGTAAAAATTTGTTGTGGAATGAGGCGCGTCCATAAAATTTGTGGGAGTGCGTTTGCGTGAAATAAGGGAATAGTATGAGAGGGGGGGGGGTGCTATAATAATCTCGGCCCATTTTTAGATGCCCGCCGCCAATCCACTTCATAAAAATCGCCGACAACGCGCCAAATTGATAAAACCAGCCGAAACATGACGAACAATTTTATTGACAGGTGAAGGCGATTCATATTCATTTCTCAATATCAATATTTTTTTGTGTTATGATGAATAATGGATGGCGAATTGAGTGGGTAAGAGAGAATTGGAAGCGAATCGCAACAAGAAACAATGCGGTGGGATAAGCAAGCGCGAAACACTACCAGTTCTCAATTATCATTGGACCGTAATAGGCGCCCGTTTTTTATTCTCCCCCCGTTGATCCAACTTCTATACATTATTTTTGTTGGCCGGCAAATGCAAATAGCATGGGAGCTTGAGCTGGCAAAGTGGAAGAATCGACGGAGGCTGTTATGCAAAATGTCAACAAAAAAAAATACAAAAGAAGGAGCGACGCGGAATCCGCGACTCCTCCCTTCTCACGAAACTAGCTGAATTGAATATTATCGCGGCTATATCACACATAATTGTCTAGTATTTATGCCATTCCTACTAGTCCATCATTTTTTTCCATTAGGGTTTGGTTGAGTGAACTTAAAAATGCAGTATATCCCAAAAGGAAAAACACGGAGAAGCTTTTCAAAAATTCTCGGCTTATTTTGTTTTGAAGCATCTACTAAGAGGAAGAATAATATATAATTGGAAATAATCCTTAGAATATGAAAATTCTTATTAAAAAAAAATAATATGAATAAACTGAGATGGATTGGAAATTAATGAAGCATTTTTATGGGTTTCGAGCTTCTATTAAAAATAATGAAGGCGAAAATGAATTTTCTATTCGAGGGATAAATTATCAAAAAGGAAATTTAATTTTTATTAGTTAGCTCAAGATTCTGTGAAATGCAAATAATTGACAACCCAGAGAATCAAAAAAGAGTTTCATTGAATCTCAAAAAAAAAAATAATGGAAATAATTGCTCAAGTGGAAGATTGATGAAACCACTCAAAAATAGAGTCGATTACGTAAAGCCGCCAACTGCTCATTGAAAAATAGTCATCAATCAATATTAAATGGAAAGAAATGTCAAATCGTTTAACACATTTGTGATTGTCGAAAACAATATTGAGATTGTCTCAAATGTTTGACGTGGATTTCGAAATGAATGTAACTCTTATAAAATTCACTATTGTGCAAATAAATCAAGCTTGCGCAAATATACGTACTAAAGCAAATCTTGTTATGGTGAGGTTCCGGTATCCGAAGGCAAAAAAAAATACTATAAAAAAACGGATTGCCGTGGATGAGGTGTTAGGAATTGCAATGAGAAAAAAATTGATGCAAATCCGCGAGAGCGGGCGTTCGTGATTTATCGGGCATCAAAATAATACCGCTCGCCAAACAACTGTTTGATTGGAAGTGTGGGGGGAATCATTTTCTCAATGGCCGATGCGGCACCAGTTTCTTTCTCGCATCTTCACGCATTTCGTTTTTTTTGTGCTTCTTTCTTGCTTTCAACGAGAAAGAAATGCAAAAAAAAGAACGAAGAGCCGAGCGGTTGCCTTTGTGCACAAACTCGATTATTTTTACGTTTCCTATCGAGAAAATTGGGCCTCCAATGAGAAGTGTAATCGATAAATGATGATGGTGACAATAATGATAAATGCATTTTTCAAATGAATAAAAAATGAGCGAGCTGGTTCACATCCGTTTTCATACAATATATGTAAATTGACCATGAATGGGAAACGGGTGTGCTCGGCGATACACTTGAAGGATAGTCAAAGTCCTTCAACTTGGAGCTTGCCTTGGTTGAGATGTGTTCACAAGTGCGCGAGAATAATTGACAGTACCATATGGGGAGGCAATATCACGCAAAATCGCAAGATGTTTACAAATCACATATAGCATGAGGAGCAAATAGAGCTGAGCATTTGGATTATTGTTTATTAGAGCTAAGATAATCGGAAGAATGAGTGGAAATGTTTGTAAATAATTGTGAGATTTATGAAAATTAATGAAAGGAATTTAATAATGAATAATTCAATTTTTATACTTTTGAGGTCTGTGAAATGTCAAAAATCTAAAAATTTCCATAAATCCAATGTCTAAAAATTTAACTTAAAAATTAGATGATAATTAGTCTCAAATAAATACTAATTACTTGCCATTTTTTTCTCATTAATAACCAACTAGCTAATGTGTATTATTTTTCATGACTAAACCTACACAGAGGTAGTGGGTGGAATAATACTTAAAATATTCAAATGCATATCTAACTATAGCGTCTCGAAAGAATAAACTGAGAAATTATAAAATGTTTTTCAATAATATGCCAATTTCATAACTGACAGTATTATATTGGAATAATGTTGCTAAATGAAAAATGATGTATCTGAAAATTTCAGACAAACACAAACTGATGTAATTTTTGGAAATCCGAAATAGTGAATAAAAAAAAATCCGAAATAGTGAATAATTATTCATCAAGAGTTAGTTACGAAATGATAATTAACAAATAATTAAGTCAAACCCCAACCTATGTGGTGAAAAAACAATGCGTTGTGCTCATGTTCTAGCTGAATTGGTAGTTTTCCCTTCTGTTATATATACATATTATTTTTTAATTATTGTTCAGTAATAAGCTAATTTTCGCGCAAACACCAAATTCCGACGAATGTTTGAATTCTCAAGAAATCGAAATCAATTTTCTTAGAAATACATTTCATATGCACTTTTCCTTTCTGGTTTTCCAGGAAAATGTATAGTGAGAAGCTAAATTGAAAAATCTTGGTGTGAACGCGTTGAATATTTATTGAACATTCTCATAATCATGTTTAAACAGGAATTGAAAATCAAGAGAAAAATACTAGAAGGAAACGTATATTTTGTAAATCATATGTAGAATTATACGGTGTCATATATTTATTTATATTTATTTATTTTATACAAGTTATTAGTATTATAATTAATCATTATTATTTTAATTGTTTTCGTTTTGAAATGATTTTCAATTTTCTTACTAAAAATAATGAAATAATGTTCAAAATGCTCAAATTTCCAGCATAATATTTTTAGTGTTCTATAAATATCCCCCCCCACCAAATGGAGCTCTTCGTATATACATATTACTCTCTAAAACTGGCACCAATCTGTGCAGCCAGCGAGTAAACATATTATATTTCATCGTTTTTTTTCGTCCCACCAGCAAATTTTAAAGATCATCTATGCCCGTATAAGGCCTCCTACTCAAGTTATGAAACTCATAAACATTATTCTCAACAGTTTATTCATTCGCCACAAGGTCATGCAGATTTAAATAGCGGATTTTCGCGTTGGCATCCGATGTTGCGCACTCCCCAATTTGGTGGAATGTCCACCGAATCGATAACAGTCGATGTTGGCGATGGCGGATTGGTGTGACGAACATGGCGACTAATTGCTGTTACTTCACCAACTTCCTTTTCCGAAGGATACATTGTTGCGAAGATCACTTGGTCTATAATTGAAAAACTTTTTTTTTTCTGAAAACCCAATTTTCATTACCACTTTGGGCTGGGTAGACCTTGGCGTAGGGGAAAAGTTTGCGAAGTTTTTCCTTTAGTTGAATGAACATTGTGTGAGCACCGTAGATGATCATTTGAATGAGAGTGATGATAGATAAACCGAGAAAGAATCCGAATTGGCCTGCAACTCTCGCATACATTGAATAATTGATGCGGGAAACGACATACCACCAATTTGTGACATAAACCCTGGAACCGATGTTGTGTAAACCTCTTTCACATACTCATACTAAAATGGGAATGTTCTCGGACTCTGGAGTGAACTTCAATAATACCTGGAGATCGCTATATGATGCCTCCAGATTGAATGTATAATCTTCGAAAGGGGTTAGTGTTTGGCTTTGTTGAACCGTCGTTTGATAATCCCAACGTTGGCAGCCGGGTGTGCACTGAAATGAGCAAAAAATTGGGCATATGCGTGATGAAGAGTGGAAATGACATTCCCCCCCCCCCGGCCCACAATTCTTCTTCAAGCAACAAAAATGAAGCAGGTGAAATTATATGTATGCCAAACCCAAAGGATATTATTTTCGGTGTTTTGTGTGTGTTGAAGGCCGAAAAAAAAGCGATATGAAGAAGAACATGAAGGAGCCGAAAAAAAGGAGGGTTAGCGAGTATCGGAAAATTATGTAAGAGTGCATATGACTGGCTGGCCATTAGTCGATGAAAAATGAGCCGTTGAGGAGAGGCAGTCGGAATAATTCAGCACTTGCACGTTCATTTATGTAGATTAATCAAAAGATGGCAAAGAAGGACAGAAAAAACATTATAGTTGAAATGTTGAGAACATTTGTACCGTTTCCTTGACTTCCGCACTTGTCCAAACGTATTGAATTTTCTCCAGATAATCGTCGGCGATTACGTCTGGCCTGCACACACCTTGAGTTGGCGGAATTTTGCTTATTGAGTTCAAATAAGGCAATGTGCAATTGAATGGTATAATAATGTTGGATAGGTACCATTTTCGCACCATGCATTCTGCGTCTCGCCCGAATATCTGAAACCCAAAAATATTGATTGGTCTTGAATTTCCAAATAACCGCATTCGTACAAACATCCTTGTTCTGGATAAGGGCGATATAACGCGCAGTAAATCGCATTCGATTCCATTCGTTCGGATAAATATAAAATCGTGGGAATTCTGTGACCACATCGTGGTTATCGGTGATATATGCAATTAATTGAGACTGAAAAGAAAACAAGAATTTTTTTGATGGTCCCATACTTGGAATGTCTTCTCCCATCACTCAAAATGTTGACATCTCGAAAAGTCTCATTCATACTTCTCAAAGTACTCTTTTTTCAACTATAACTTTTTTAGGGAAATCTAATTCAATTTAGGGTATGTATATCGACACTAAATCATTTCCACAGTAATCCAGGAATCTATTTAATTTTTATATAATTTCTTGATAATTTCCGTTTTCATGTTTAACCTGCTGAGCAGAAACACACAATTTGAACTAGATTTATCGGCCCTGTCAAAAACAAAAATTTGTATATGAATTGGGGGGATCAATTCACTAAAGTTGTCGTAATAGTATTCAATTGTATTAACATAGTATTTGGGCTGGGATTGGTCATTCTAATGAGATCGGATTGTGAGGCTAAAGGTTAATTCACGGTAGGAAATACTGAATGACAATGCACCATCGTTTGAACTCACCTGAGTAAAATTTGTATCCTTACTCGTATAGCTTGAAGGTGCTTTCATATTGAATACAATTCTTCCAATGTCATCAGCTTCTGACTAAAATTCTCATTAATTGATTGAACAAGGAATAATACCTGATTAACGTCCCTTCTTGTTTGGTAACATATTCCGCGCCTCATAACAACCTTCCGCACCATTAAATCATTGCAACAGTCGAGTATTCTACCGGCCAGCTGACACTCGTAGAACAATTCTTCACACTTATACCCGTATTTTTGCTGAATTCGAGTATTGAGCTTGAAAGGGGTTATGTATTAAATCACTTGTATTAAATCAAAAAATTCCAATGTTGTATACCCCGCTGACCATATTTTATATAAATTATTCAAATGGCTTAAGTATGTCCTATTGAATCCCGCAACATTATTCATGTTCTCCAAACCGCTGCCAGCAATGAAAAACCTTAACATCCAGCATTTCAATGGAATGAAACGGGCGCGATGTTGGATTACTGTACTAAATCGTCTCTAACATCTGGTGAAATATTCGGGATACTTTCATTAATGTCGCCTTGTAATCCCGCAATGTCGAACGAATCGGGAATTTTGGGAAAAATTGTGATGGCCGGAAATTCCAAAGAGTCAACCTGAAAATTGTTTGAGCCTATCTTCTGTGGAAGATTCTACGAAAATTTCAACCAATCTAATAGTGGTTGAAGTCGCCGTTGGACCCTGAATATATTCCAAAATGATTAATGTGGTTGTTGTGAGCCCAAATGACAGACAAACTATAATAACGATCCACCAAAATGCTTTCATCGCGATCGTTCCACTCAGCAACGCCTGGAAAGGAGAAGTTGTGATAAGTGATCATTAGTCATCCTGAACAATCATCTCTCTCCTCCTAACAAGGAGAACTAAAGAATTGATATTGAAAAAGAAAATACATATTAAATATCTTTTGTTACTCATTTCTTATGTAATATCACTGTTCGAAATACATAATCTGTTATTTCATGTTTTTGATATTCGCACAAAGATCATCATAGAATTTTCGAGAAACAATTATTTTTGTACTTTCCCACAGCATTCATATGACACTCATTATGGAATAATTGAGACAGCAGTGACCTTTTAATCCTTCACCATGACTTCTTCTAGGCGATGAATTGAACGTATTAACCCCCAAAAGAATTATGGTTTGGCCATAAACACTAGACGATTTTGCAGAAATGTGGAGAAAACCGGTTTTCTAAAATTTATCGTGAAACAATAACACAAACCTGACTTAGGCCATGAATCTCGCCTGTCCAAGGTGGAGGGTCATTGAGATGGCATTCGCATTGCCTCTGCGGTTTTGGCAGAAACATTTTGATCTATTGAGAACGCATGGAAAAATCTATTTTGCGAAATTTTTCGGATTACCTTCTTCCACTCATTTATAGGCACTGGCATTGAATACTATTGAGAATGACCAATTGTAGCGAACAACTGGAAGGAACATGTACATTTCCTTATAAATAATAAATGATCGGTGAAAAGTAATAAGATACCTTGGGATACATATTTGTTTAACAACAATTGCTAGACCACATTTATTTATCATATTTTTAAAATACAACAAAACCCGGAGTACAATTAAAACATTAATTCCATGTGGATTATGCTCGTCTTTCGATGATATTATTAAGTACAAGTTAAACTACATACAGATACTTGCAAAGGGAATGAATTCGATTTTCTCGATTGCTTATGATTTTTTTCATACGTTGATTAGTTGGCTGGCTCGGCGAGAAGTTGCTCAATGAATGGGGTGACGACCTCTCCATGGCTCCAAGCGGTTGGATGGAAACGGAATCTTGGCTGCCCATTTCTATCGATAAGGAACTTCTCAAAGTTCCAGGTGATGTCGGAAGCGCGAACTGGATTGTACATGAGCTCGTCAGTCTTTCCGATTCGGTCAACGGTCTGTGGGCAGGATTCCTTGATGAACTCGTAAAGTGGATGATGGTTCTCTCCATTGACTTCGAGTTTTCCGTAAATGTGCAAGTTCTGGTGTGGCTTCCATCCATTTCCTGGGCGAACATACATGATTCCGTTCATAAGCTCATGGTTCTCAGCAGGCTCCTATAAAAAGTCTGATTAAATTCCATTCGTTTGTCATTTAACGATGTACCTGCAAGTAGAATTGGTTGCATGGGAATGCGAGAAGGGTGAATCCCTGCGATTGATACTTCTCGATAAGAGGGTTGAAGTCGGTATACTGTTGAGTGTAGGCTGCAAAAAAATTAATCAACCAAAATCATCGGCGCCATTCAGTCGCTGTCCTATCAGTTCGTCATCGGGAAACCGTTCATTATATTTTGTTGGTCACCGATAACAACAATGGTATCGATGAAGAAGAATGGAGACAGCGAAAGAGGAACAAAAAGGCTTCATCGATACCCGTCTGGTCACTTTTTTTATTGTTCATACTCACCGCAGAAGGTTGCGACGTTGACGACGAGAAGAACTTGGCCACGGTATTGACTCAAATCGGTGTATTCTCCTTGAAGGGTTTCCACCTGAGCATTGAGCATTGATAGGATATAATCATTTTTAGATTATTTTGATACCTGGAAGTCATAAATCGATTGGTTGGTGTCCTTGCACTGGCTCCAGCGAGTTGTTTCATCAACCATTTTAGGTCCTATAAGATTAAATTTGATGGTATACAAAGGCGGGTGACTAACCTGGCTGAGCAGTGGCAATTGCCAAAAGAGCTGCAAAAAGCAGAGAGGACATTGTGATATGAGTTGGTTGCGGTTGTCTGAGTCGATGAGCGGGGGATCTGACCTGCCACCCAAAATTTTCCAGCAACTTTTATACCATTCACAACATTCGCGAAATACAATAGTGAATCGCTGAGAGCGCTACAGAATTAGGATGGGGTGGGGCCCCGGCACGCGAGACACGTCGCAATCGCGAGACGCGAAGGCAAAAGTAGGTGGAGAAAAAAAAAATGGTTGGCGGCAGCTGGAGGAGGGAAAAATTTTTTTCTGCGATTTTGAGTGTAGGTGTGTATATGTTTGTTTCCACAACAAATATACGATGAAGCTACCACCAAGGATACTATTTCGGAAAATTCACGTTACAACAATTCCGATCAAACCACATGGGCGGGGTGTTTCGTTCGGGATTCCAAGAACCCGTCGAAAATCGCAACAAAAGGAAGGTGTACAATGGTTATTATTGACATAGTTAGCGTTGTTTACTGATGAAATCAATCGCAGCTTCTCGCTATGTATTTTTCTATTAATATTTTGTGAAAGACCGCTTATATTGACAAAGTTATCAATGATATTTGTGTTTTTCGCTTCAAGTTGAAATTCCGCAAACAGTTTTCGGCTGTCAACAGATTTTTTTCCAGAATCCAATTGGTTTTGGTACATTCTGCTAAGTTTTATTGCATTTTTTATTACTGTTCGAAAAAATTGTGATATTTTAGGACTGGACTGGTCGAAGACAATATTGAAAACAATGACGACATATTTTTCTTTAATTAGGCATAGCGTAATGGCTGAGGTACTCGTTTTAAAAACTAAAAAGTAAAGAAAATATAAGACCTCTCATGAATGCAAAAAATTACGTGTATTTTACCTGAAAAAAAAACTTCTAGCCATACAGGGTGTCATTTAAGTTCCCGCACAACTTTGAAGACGTATATTTCTGAAACTAAAAGTCCAAATCAAACGAGACTCGAAATATTTTTTTTCTATAGTATAACAAATAATTATCTTTTAACTCTTTTCGATTCGGTCTTCTTTCGCAGCTATGACTTCACGGAGACGCTTCGGGTAGGATGCGACTGTGGTACGCAGATATTCGATGGAAAGATTGTCCCATTCCGCCAGTAATGTCTTCTTCAGAGCCTCTATACTTGAGTGGGGTTTTGCGTTGACCTTCTCCTGCAAGACCCCATCACGGAAAAGTCAAGCGGGTTCAGGTCTGGGGAGCAATCAGGCCATTCGGATGACTTGATGAAGTCGGGAAAATGGGTCTGGCACCACTCCTGAGTAGTTTTGGCAGTAGGGGCGGGTGCTCCGTCCTGTTGAAAGACCCATTTCTGCCCACCGAAATGCGTTTGGGTACAGGGCATCACATGATTCTCCAAAATATCCCGAACGTAGACTTCTCTGTTTATTTTCACCCCCTGATCCACGAAAACCAGGGGGCACTTCCCGGTTGAGCAGATGGCACCGAAAACCATCACACTGGCAGGATGTGAGGCTCGATGAATTGTTCTTCCTTTCTCAGAAGCTTGCTGGGATGTCTGGGCAAGTACTCAATGGCTTTGTGAGTTGAATGCCGCCTCCACAGTGAACAGCTTCTCGTTGGAGAAGACAGTGACGAGGTGTTGTCCAGACCGCGTGCGAGCAAGAAGTCGTTTTGCTTTTTCGAAGCGTCTCTGCTTGCTGACGGCCGATAGAATTGCCGCTTTTTGGACACGATATGGGGTCAGTCCAAGCTTCGTTTTGACGATTTTTTCCATAGCGAAGATGCTCATTCCCATGTCTGACGCCATCATTCTCATGCTCCTGTGGGGTTTTCGCCTGATCCTCGATTTAACGGCGTTGATCTTCTGAGGAGTGATTACTGAGACGAGTCTTCCTTGTCTGGGACGGTCACTGGTCGTATTTAGCTCCTTGAATCGTTTGATAGTGTCATAAACCGTTCTACGAGGCACACCGACCCGTTGAATGATGTCTCTCGGGCTCACATTTTGCTTATGAAATTCGATAATGGAAGCGCGATGGATGTTAGCCTTCGCCATTTCTGGGAAACACATCCGAATGAGGTGAAACTTGGAAAGTAAGTAAAATATACCTTATTTAACAAAAATAAATTGTATTGGTGCACGAAAAGTGCGACAGCCAAGCTCTTCATGGCGTCAAACTTTTGTGCGGGAACTTAAATGACACCCTGTATTTGGTCAACCCCTATAGAACTTGACCTCTCATGCTGCAAGAGTGATGATCAAAAATCAGCGCATGGTTTTCATTATAAATCGGAGTACACGCCTGTTCTTATCTGTCAATTTTCTCCATGATGACCGGATTTTCAATTGGACAGGAGCTTCGTGGAATCGTGAATCTTTTGCAATTTTGAAACATATGGGTTTTGAGCATTTTTTTTGTTATAATAGTCATAAAACAAAGAATAGGCAGTATGTAGAACTAGTTTGTACCCAATTTTAAGGGTTACAAAATTTGCTTTCAAACTTAAGAAAAATTGCTACAATGAGCGATGATCCTTTAAGAATATCGAGATTCTTTAGTGACCATGTTCTAAAAATAAATATTCATTGTTGATTTTATGTCATCATTTTTGTGTGGCCCGTCAACACCATTGACCTTCTACGTTAATTTCTTAAAGTATAAACAACTCCTTTAAAAACCAGATTTCCTTTTATAGTGGCCATTTTATTTTCAAACAACTTCAATAATTTGCTGATGATCATCAACCCTCATAGTTTTCAACGAATTTCCCTATCCCAAAAAAGGTTTCATGTTCTTTTGTGTGTTAACGTAAGGAACAAGAACTGGTCAGGTCAATTTGTTGGCATGTGTAACATCTTGACACTGAGAACTGGAATCGAGCACACTCGCATTATTGGTGTACCAACAAAACGATAAAATATTTGAGTTGCCATATAACTCAAAAAATAATAATCGAGTTTTTATCACTATATGATTCGATTTTGATGAGCTCCAACTATTCAATTGAAGGATCAAAAAACCAGTGTACTCCGAATGATCTTCGAAAAATGTGCAGTGTAATCAAAAACCCACGAGTTCGACCCAAAAATACCATTGTAATTCTCATCAATGAACATTGGCAAACATTACAAATGTTTGACCAAAATACATTTCAATATGTTCAAGAAACGGCATATGAAAGTTGGTTGGGTGGTGTAAAAAAATTGAAAATCACGAGACTATTTGTTAATGTGCCATGTCTTTTGATTGGACGATTTTGAATGTCTCAAGGGCCTCTTTTAATTCAATTGCAACCTTTTTCAGGACATTTGGTACGGTAACGAATAGAATTGAGTATAAACATGTGTTAAAAACGTCAAAGAAGTAAACATCAAATTGAAATGGTCTTCAACCTTTTGGTGAATAAAAATGAAGAACTGAAGTTTGAAGGGATGGAACGTCGTGATGAGGGGGGGGTCTGTATTTTAAAGCAAGATCAAAAAACCAGATAATCAGAAATTTTTGGGGCGTTAAATTTCAATTGCATTACATGATGAAAAATTTGAGAAAATTGGCTACACATTTTACTTGCAGCAAAATGGGCCTCTCAGATACTCAAAAAATATATATTATACGGAAAGTACGTTTTTATAATTTCAGACTTGTTGCTTTTTCAAAAATCAAAATTTATGCTATTGTAAAATTGGGAAGCCACTGGATAATGATTAAAAAAATGTACGTAACCAATTCCATTATGGAATAAAGGGGTAAAAAATTTTATGTAGATAAAATCATTTTAGGCGTCCTTAGCTATCCTTGCCCAACATTTAATTTTTACTGAGAATTGCTAACATACCATTATTTTAGGCGTAAAACCCTAATTCGTATGCCGCGTTTTTCTCGTGCACTGAATCAAAACGAAAGCTCAATTTGTGATGTTTTTTTTTTTTCGAAAACCAATTTAGTACATAATAATTGAAAATTAATTATTTTGATTATCAAGATTTCCAATGCATTTTTCAACTTTATGGACCGAAAATATCAAAATTTTATATTAAAATTTGGTCCTTCGTTTGAAATTATTTAAAAAAAATTCGCACCGCTTTTCAGATTTCCAAATTTTCCAACTCCTCTTTTTTCTCACTTCAATCTTAACTTTTTTTGCAAAACTATTGACCCCAGAAAACTAGTATTGACACCAAAAATAAATCGGCGAGCAAACATTAATGTTATAAACGGTGGAACTATCAATTACCACATTGAAATATTTCTATTTGCGTTCGCCGCTTGCTGCAGAACCTCAAGGACATGTCTGCGCGCAATGGAAAAAAAAGAAAGCATTGCATTGACTCGAGTCAAATGCTTGGTTCCAATTGTTCGCTTAACAAGCATTCCGTTTGTTTATCAAGTGTATTTGCATGGTAAACGAGCAACTAGTAGTTGTGGAAGTAGTTGTTGTAATACTCGAGTTTTTCACCAATCGAAATAAAGCAGTGTGAGCTAACCATTTTTTTATGTTGGTCGAAAAGAAAATTGGAAGAAAGGGGGGGGATTGAAATCAACACTTCATTTTGAAAATAAATATTTGCAATGAGAAACTGCGAAACTGCACGTTTGATCTTAATTACGCCATCAATTGATAGACAACTATTACAACATTCCTTTGTTATTCAAAAATGGTAGTGTTTTGCGTTGACCAGCATCAAATTTGACAACTGACGATCGTGTTCCAAGTCCAACAATACATTGAAGGTGGTTCAGGGAATTAATTGAAATTGACAGAGAAAACATAGTCAGTTAAGAATGGAATCTATTGAAAACAAAAATATAATGGATCTCTATAATAAAGTCTTACTAGTATTTGGACTTGTCTTGAAGCCAAATTTACATTAAATAAATTGGAATTGAAAAAATCTGAAGGATATTAGCTTTGTTTCCGAAAAAACTTTAATAACACGGTTTCCAATAATCCTTTAAAAATCTTTTTAAAGTAATCAGATTTAAATATAGGGAATTATTTATTAGAAAAAATAATGGTTAAGTAAAATTTAATTATTGATTTAAAATATAACAAGGAGAATTTTACGAAAAGCTTTTATAATATTCGAAAACAGGGTTTTTCTAAAATTTAAAAAAAAAATCAAGTACGGTTTTCCGTTTTTGCTGATGATATTGCAAATCAAATTTCTAAGATTCCATCGCTATTTTTAATCGGTGGGTGAGGTTGTCAATTTCCGAAGTCATTTTTAATATTTTTTTGCTTTGGTGATAATAAAATTTTTCAAAAATCCGCATTTTGATCTACTTGATAAAATTTGCTAGATATGCTATTAATAGAATAATCATTAAAACGCATAAAATTTTTGAATTGGGAAATTTTCCAATAAAACAGTTCCTCATCTCATTAAATTATCCCATTATTAAATAATGTAATGGCTTTTTGGGACTATTTAACCTGCAGCAAACAAGCGTTACAATATGGAGCCTTCCTCAATGTTTCTTTTAATATTATTATTATTTTCGTCGGCCTATGGATGGTCTCCAAGGCCAAACCAGAGCGATATAATGAAATTTCAACCATACGAAGTTCTTCAAGCATTCTGCCAACTTGAGGTTTGTTGAATTTTTTCCGATTTTTCAATTTCTTTCTAAAGAATGCTGCTACGTATAATGAGGGAATCACATTGTGGACACGACTAACCGGATGTCGAAGTATCGCGAGAATTTACGACGACACGAAATTTATCGATGCACCATTGACGTGCTATCCCAATCAATACGGTCACATAAATTCGAGTACAAAGATAAATTGTGTGAACACCAATTCAAGCACGTTATGGCATACAAATGTAAACGGTTTTCGATTATCTCTCAATTTCTATTTTTTTCAGTATAAGTGCAACTCGAGCATGTTCCACAGAGCATCTGATTGCTCATGGACTAAATTTGATAAGTGCTTCTATGTGACATATTTGTGTAGACTGACAAGAACCGATTTTACTCCTAAATTCTTCGGAATTGCTGGAGGATGCCTTATCGCAGTGGTTCTGGTCATTATCATTGTAATCATATTCTGCTGCCGACGCTCTGCCAAGTCGGTTTGCCTTCGAGAATTGTTAGTTGATCAATGATCTCAAGACATATTGCGCATGAAATTGTTTTAGGGAGCAGGATTACGAGCTAAACGCGATCAGTGCAAATGGAACACAATTGCCATTCAGATATACTTTAGTAATTCCTATATTTTAGGAATTGAAGCTCTTATTTTTCATAATTTCATTTTTCAAATAAATGTTTCACCGAAAATCTTATAACTATTTTTGCTTTTGCAAAATTGGTTCATACAATCTTTGAAAAATTCTCTAACATTATTCGTATATTTTTCGTATATTTTTGTCGTATATTTTTGTGGTCGTGCTTAAAAATGAGCACAAGTGCAATAGCGCAAATTTTAAAAATAAAGTGGTCTGGATGAGATTCGCAAAATTTGGCGCAATGTTTTTGAATCGAGTAAGCTCAGGAAATTAGAATGTTTTACTGAAAATCGATGGAGAAATTGTGATCGGAAATCAAGTTTTTTTTTTTTAAATTTTCTTTAATTATTGTCATTCTTATAATTCCGAGTTGAATGCAAAACGTTAAAATAACAATAACAGCTGTGTTTTAAAATATGAATTTGAAATCTGCAAAAAAGAACTTGTGAAGGATTATAAGAATGGTCCGAAGAATAGAACCGATGAATAAAATTGCGAGTTCCCACGCTTTGACATAACAATGATGCGGTCGATGGAATTCCGACGGTATCAATAATCGTAATTCCGACAGAATTTTGTTTATATGCATATAATTTCGGCAAAACTCAAAAGACTATAGAAAACCTGATAACGGATTTGGATTTGAATTGGCCCATTTTGCAAACCTTATTAATCGGTATTAATACGAAAATATTTTCATCTTGGTTTTCTGATGCTTTTCGAGCGTAAAAATGAGGGAAATTTGGTGCAAATTCTAGAAAACATTAATGAAAATTAATTATTCGTTATTTTTTTTATGATATAAATTTGTCAATTTATATTGTTTATAATCGTTTTGGCCTAAAAACTGATGTGATCTCTCACAATGCTGAAAAACTCCAAATTTTTTTTCCATTTTGCTATTGAAGAAAAATATGATTCGGCAAATGTCGTCGCAATTTTATGACACTTGTTTTTGAAATTTGGTAATCAATATTATGATTATTTTGCTATAAATTGGTAAAAATATTCATATACATACAATTTTATATCTTCATTTTTTCTTTTTATAGTTTTTCATTGAGTGGATCTAAAAATGGCATTTAATGGTTTATGTCGATTCAAATAAATGAGTTCAATACTTAATCGATCTATATCCGATGTAAGACCGATTATCCGTCGTCCGATTTCAAAATGCTTTAACTATCCACAAATGAGTCACAAACGAAGACCACAAAGAAGAAAGAGAGCGTCGAATAGAAAGAGGTTGTTTGCGTTCGAGCAACACATTTTCAATCATTGTGTTCGCGCGCAGTTTTCATCAAAATAATTTGAATATTCTTTATCAAAATCGTTTTTTTCTTGTGGAGGCACAATTTCGCAACAAAAAAGCAACACTGTTGGAGGTTTTTTCAATTATTTTAATGGTTTTTTATGAACTATGAAAATCTTACTTCAAACAAATTAGGTTATTCAAGTCATTTGATTTTAACTTTTCATCTTTTTTTGCTCAACAACAGTACTCAAAAAGAATATTTGCATTTGTTTTAACCATGATTCCTTCCCGCTTCCCCTTCTCTCCCATCGTGCGAACCATTACATCGACGCCCGCTTGCGATCAATTTGTCATTGCTGTCCTTCTCCATAATAGTCCTCATACACAAAAAATTTTCGTTTTGTTTTTAATTTTACTTTATTTTTCAGAAATCAAGCGGTACAATGGATGAAATTCGCAAAAATGAGCTAGAGAATGGTGTTGCTCGCGCTATTGCTTCACCTCCGACTTTTGCCACATCAGAAAATGTTTTGTCATCAATTCGATATGGTCTCGACGCTGTGAGCAAAGAAATTCTCACCGACATTGCCAGTATTCAATTATAACAACTACACAAATAATAATGATTCATGTTTAGACCGGTATGCAAAATCAGCATGCAAAGCAATTACTCAAAAACTTTGTGGCCATCACAAGCAATCGGTTTTTTGCATCATCGCACGTCAGAAATTTTAAATGGCACTGCTGATGAAGATGCGACGGGTTGCGGCTTGAAGAGAGTCGTTGAACAAATTATGAAAGCACAAACGATTTCCGAAATCGATGATGCAATCATCGAGCTCAGAAAAGCGAAGTTTGGAATGAATAAGGCGACCATCCGTTATGATCCATCAAGAATCCTACATGCCTCCTATCCAACTCAAAATACGACACTTTGCATTTATGGGCGCACACTGGAGGGTCAGTAAAAACAATTTTGTCTTATAGCACATTTGCATTCTTTAGAAGCTGGCCAGCATTTGCAACGCGTCCTTCAACATGTATTTAATGGACTAAGAGCCCGCGACATTCCAGCATTCATCGAGTTGATTATCTCTTTTGTTGAATCGATCGATCGGGATGAGCATGGTAGGAAACATTCTGAATTCCAATTTCGGATATGACTATGACGATTTCAGCCGCCACTTGCTACTGGATCGGCATGACGGCGTTTTTTCTTCACCACTTCTAACAGACAAGAATTTCAATTACTTTCCTTCTAATAATTTCTTATTGTAATGCTAATTGTTTGCTCTTGGGAATTTTGAAAATCATAGTTCTTGTTGCTGGTTTCAGACTAATCACCAGGTTGCTTTATTAACATTCATTGACGGCTTATGATTTTCAGTGTAAGAAAATTCTGAATTAGGAATGACTCGATGAAGGTACCACGACAATTTTTCAAACCGCGGCGCATATGAAATCATTTACACAAATCAGTTTCGACAAATCGTTGGACCAATTTCATTTGTTAGTAATAATTAAATAGAATTCTAATAATGATTCTATGGTGAAGCACTTAAAATTGATGAATAAAATACAGTCAAGACATAAATGGCAAGGATGGACGGGTGAAAAGACAAAAATTGGATAATTATGGCATGGGCCCTAATAGATAAAAACTTCTGTCGAAGTTTATATCATTCGATAGACTTAGCTTGTGAATTTACAACCAATTGAAGAAATAATTTAAAAATGTTATACAATATTCATATCATACTTGATGGAAAACGCTAGGTCTCGCTTAGATGCGTAGTGTCAAAAAAGCGTGTCAGAAAGCGATGATTGTGGTACTTTAGTTTGTGAAAAAAAGAAATGAGCTCGAATGCAGGGAGCTCTCCGTAAATTCTCGTTTTTATCAGAGCAGCCTTTCCTATTTGATCATAATTTTTTTCCTGGAATTAAAAAAAATCAAAAACGTTCAATGACATTGTTTAAACCTTTTGAAAGCTTCTTAATAATTTTTGATCCAGCAAAATATTGTTCGAATTTGGTAACTTATGCATAAACAGAGCGATCGAATATCTTCGATGTGTTATCGGTATTAGAGGGGTCTTCACTGGTTTTTTGATTTGGTAGTGTGTCAAATTTAAAAGTTATAATGAAAAATATCCACAAAATATTAAGCATATAGTTAATTAAATGCTGACGTATGGAAAAATGAGCACGTAGCAGAGGTGAGCATTGGCATTCACAAAACAATGATGGTTCGAACAAAATGATATTTCTCTGAAATAAAAAAATAGAAAAAATCGCGAGCAATTACTTCCTACCTTTTCAAAAAAATTATATTGGAGAAGAACATTTGGCTGGGAATGAATCAAGATCTAAACATACTTTTTGTAATTCGCAATTCCATCAAAACTTTGCCAACCAACAGTAGTTTTTCTGCCAACAAACTTCTGTCCTCTACAATTTTCTTCTGAAGATGCTGTGTATTTGATGAAGCGTATTGTAGATCACCATATACCGTATTGGAAGGTATTGATCACTAACAGTGACAAGGTTGTTAGCAAGTATTCGCATCAGCCATATGACATTGAGAATTGGAGCTGTTTCACTCTAAAAATCCTTGCCATGGGCCTGTTGTGCAACAGGAGCGAGTTTTTAGCTTGAAAGTGCAGAAGCATTCGAAGCAATAGCTGGAACATCTGCAGAAATAGACGCACTAGAGGACATGTGGTTTAATGTTTTGGAATTCACTGAAACTGAATGAATCTTTCCCACAGTCACTACTTGTGTAAGAAGTAGCGGGAGTTTTGAATTGTCCATACCACATTGCGCCAACAATTTGGCGTAAAAGAGATAACGAAGAATTGCGGAATTCAAAACAATCGGTGTCACATGAATGGGGCCTACTACTAACAGTTCATTGAATTGTCAAATTTGGGGAAATATGAATATTGTAAAAGCATGTGTATGCTGCGATGTGCTGTGCAAAAATTTGTTTATTTTCAGGATTTTACTGATTTCTTATAATACTATTGAATTTGCTTTGCCGAATTGAATAGAAAAAAATTCAAAAATTCCTAGAAACGTACGATAATAAGAAAAATAAATAAAGGAAAACAGTTAATGAATCGAAGAAAAGGGTCACATCATCACGAAGTAGTCCTGAGTCACGAAATAGATCCCCGATCCCAAAATATCAAAAACCATGAAAACCCTAAAAAGTCAATTTGGGCAAAAGGACCAAATTAAAAAATAGACTTTTATAATTGAGAATCTCATCAAAATTCTTGGGAAAAGGTATACAACTCCTACCACAAATTACAATTTAGTGGTTTACCAGCACCAAATAAGTGAATCATTAATTTCAATAATACGCACCTCACTAGTATTTTTTCGAATTGACAAAGTTTAAAGATAAACCTAATTTGGGAATGGACGACCTAATCTTAAAAAAAATCTAAAAAAAAATCTAAAAATAATCTAAAAAGAGTAGCCCTAAAGAGGGCCGTTGGAAGTCGTGTACCGATTAGCCTGATTCTGCCCAAAACGGGCCTAGTCAGTTGATCTCCTTCGCCACGTAGAGGCTCGGCACTTGAAGGAGAGGCTCACCAGCATCAGGCCGAAACATGATGTGGGTCATCGCCGATCCCACCATGGGGATCACCCAAGGACATCCCACAACTATCATCCGAGGATAATAGAAGTAGAAGTGGTTGGGCAAGCCACGTCTGGCTGGGCCCCGGGTCTACTGGTGATATGGTAATGTGGTTTTTGTGTTCTCAGCATAGCAGCTTACTACTAAGTAGTAGCAAGCCACTACAAAGTAGCAAGCTACTATGCCAAGAAGCACGGTCCATGTGCACCCGAAAGGCTGGACATATTGACATAGCTGGCCAAACCACGTCAATATAGGTCAGGTCCAGGTGCCATCCTGACTAGTATGGAGGACACCCGGTGAAGCAAAGTTCTAAAGCTTAACCATCCATAACGCCCCAATAGCAGTTTCCAAGCACTCTAGAGTACTTGAAACAGGGGCGTTTGGGTAGGGTTCGATTCCCGGCTACGGAATCAGGGCTGAAAGGCTTGCCAGGCAAATCACCCGAATTTAGGATACAGCGGATAAGCCGCCATCCAGCCAACGCCTCGGCACTATGGGAAGATCACGAAGCTTTGGCGTTTTTGGGGAAATAGCCGACTACGACTATGAGAGACTATTGCTTAATGATGGGGAAACTTAGTTGGGACCGTGAATCGATTTACCAGTAGTGTCCTTCATCATCGGCGGCGGCGGCAGCGACGATACCTAAACATACCTAAACATACACACAAATTAGTACAAAGAATTAAAAAAAATACGAAAAAGAGGCTCACACAGCATCAGGAAGAAAGCCTGTACTGGATCATTGCCCGAAGGGGGAAGCCAGTCATTAGTGGAATAACTGGCATGACCGTAAGTGGTACGGCTTTCCCCCGGAATAAAAATAAGAGGTGGTTGGCCCCAAACGGTAGGACCGAGATGTACAGACGTAAGTGATACGGAGAGAAGAGATGGTGAAAATCCCAAGTGGTGGGATATAGAGAGGTAAGCCGTAAGTGGTACGACAGGAATGAGGGGAATCAGTCGACTGATAGAGAGAAGGGGACAGTCGCAAGTGGTACGACTGGTGGCAGAAAGAGGGAAGGGGAAGCCGGCTTTCCCAAAAAAAAAAAAGAGATAGTCCCAAACGGTAGGACCGGGAGGAAGTACAAACGTAAGTGGTACGAGTGTACGGAGAAAAGAGAGGGAAAGTGGTGGGATATTGAAGAGGACAGTCGTAAGTGGTACGACTCGCGCAAGTGAATAATAAAAATGATTTAAATAATATAAAAAAAAAAACAAAAAAATGAGCTAAAAATACCAAATACCCTACGTTTTTGTCCTTCCTCTACGCTTTTGTCCTTCCTCTACGCTTTTGTCCTTCCTCTACGCTTTTGTCCTTCCTCTACGCTTTTTCGAGACGGCTTCTTAAATTAGGTCCATTCGATCAAAGCTCCCTGAAATGATTCGAATTATTCTGATAGATTGATATTCCTTCATTACCATTCGAATCCTCATCATCGATCTGCTCGATGCCCCAAGTAGCATCGACCTTTCGCCATTCCCCTTTCTCGCTCTTCTTCACGTGATATGTCTACTCATGAATGTGGGTTTAACGTCGGCCTGGACGCGACACTGCAGTAGGGTTAGTACTGGCTGACGGAGTCGCACCAGTCGAGAATCCCCGACACTTTCGACATATCACATCGGAAGAGCTCGAATGAGCAACGACTGTGGCTCTCATCGGATCTGCAATAGGAGGAATTGAGAAAAGGATTGCAATGAATGTGACGTACCGAGTGAATCCTTGGCCACGGCGAGCCCGCAGGATATGCGGAGCATGACGAAGAGCCCGCAGAATATGCAGGGCATGACGAGGAGCCCGCAGGTTATGCGGGGCACGTCGAGCCCGCAAGATATGCAGGTTTCCTGCAACTCGAGGAGCTGCGAGAACTGACCAAGTTGCGCATCTACCGGCCTTTTATAGTGCCACTGGTGTCCGTGCAATATTTGCAATAGAGCGCATTTGTTAAAGCGAACTGCAAATTGATGCCAAGTGTCCGTAGATTCTCTCATGTTTGCACACTCTCTGAACTCAGACGGTGACGCGCTTTCCCCCGATCGATGCTATTTTGCGATTCCCCAATTACAGTAGAGTGCACTTGCCTTAAACAGTTAAGGTGGGGCTTGCATTTTGAATTCTTGGCTACAATGGATGATACGTAGAGTAATTCAAATTATGGAAATCGTTTTCAGAATTCAACTTTTAGAATTTTTTTTGGTTTCTCGTTTATTCCTTGAATTCAATTCTTCTCTAAAATTTTTAAATGTACATGAGTCTCAGAAATGTCATCGTCGATCTGAACATATCAGCAACCATGAAAATCGTTTTCAGTTATTCAATTCCAGTTTTTAGAAGTTATAAAGGATTTCTCCCTCGCCCGACTCATGTGACCAACAGAAATCGACAAGCATAAATGAGAATCGCTAAAAAAAGAGAAAAAAAATCCTGATAAATTCGGATAATTGATTTGCGATTTTTTTATTTCAGGAAAATATCAGGCATGTGTGAAAAAGCAGGCACGTGTTTGACAAGTCGGGCAAAACTAAATGAATACCTGCGTGTTTGCCCGAATATAATCTCAATTCTGCTAATTTTTGCAAGAAGTGTAGACGTGTGATATTTGCTATTGATTATAATCTGCAATTTTGACACTCTACCTACTAGGGGGTCTTCAAAAAACACATCGAAAATATTCGATCACTCTGTTTATGCATAAGTTAAATAACAAGTTCGAATTTATTTCAGGGAGGGCGCATCATTAAGACATACCGTTTAAAATTTTCACGACAACAAGACCAATGGTTGCACATTAGTCATTTTATTCGAATCCTGAAATTGGATATGGCTATAGTGATTGTTAAAAAAAAAATACGTTTTATTGGGGGGAACCGATTTGCCCAATTATCATAACAAAATTCATGTTATAATCCATATTTCTAAATTAGATATTAGCGGAATTCATGGCACAATTTATTCCTCATTGATATTTAACGAAAACGTTTTATTCGATGTTGTAGAGCGTGAAATTCTGTAATTAAAGAAACTGAATAAGGATCATTAAGAAGTTAAATATGCTGCCCAGAAAATTTCTACATGATACAGCGGGTTCAAACGTTTTTTTCGGTACACAAAACGATAAATTTTACTTTATTTTGCAATTACACGCAATTTTTTTAAATGAAAATAATAAATGCAATAAACAATTTTTCTATTGAGACATTTTTTTAATTTAAAAAATTTCTTCGTATGATTTGTTCAGAATTCAATAACCATTTAATTGATAGAATAAATGAATTTTAACGATTTTTGATTTGTATCTCGTGTGTTATATCAATTCTTACGGAAGTTGTTCAAAATCTCGTTTGGTTTTAAATGTGTTTGTTTTTATTTTAGAATGTTAAAAATTCAATTGTTTCCATCGTAATTATTATTTTCCGAATTTATCAGAATTTTCTTTTTTATTTTTTAGCGATTCTCATTTATGCTTGTCGATTTCCGTTTGTTAATTACATGAGTTGGATGCGGGAGAGCGCGTGTTAGATGGACTGTGTTATGAGTGTCCATGGAAACAAAATCGATAACTTCGCCCGCCGGGAATGAGCAACAATGGCTCAACCTCCTGATGCAGTTTTTTTCTTAAAATCAGCCAAAAATCTAAAAAAAAAATTCCTGTAATCATTTTTGTTGATTTTTATTTCACTGATATACATCTGATTCAATTTTCTATAATTTTTTTCGAAAATCGAGTCAGCTTCTGCTCATGTCGATTTCAAGAATTAATCTGATACTCAGCGTTGATGTAAAAAAGTGGGAAAAATGTATCGACTAACTCGAAGTAAGAAATCCACAAAGCCCTTCTTTTCGCAATATAGAGGATTTATGAATAAATTTAGTCAGCATTCAACTATTTTTAAATATTCATTTGCGAAAGTGCTTTTGACAATCTTTTTTATTATCTTAATCACGAGATTAGGTGAACTCGATAATCGAAAATAATAATCCCTGATATTCAATTCATCATTGTTTATTCGGATCGGTTATGTTTATGGTATGTTTCCATAATTATATGCATTTTTGAGTAGTGGTGCGCTCACTCGTTGTTCATGTCTTTGGATTTTAAACGAATTTCTATTTTTCAGAAATATATACAATAGCTTTCAACAGCAAACTCATCAAAGCTGAAAACATTGTCTCCCTCATCAGTGTCATCGAAAAAGCCCCAGCCATAATGAGAGTTTGCGATGGAAATGTTCAGTGGTTGAATGGGTCAATCACGGTCTCTGAGTAAGCGCTTGAATTCAAAAAGCCTTCAGTATTAAACAATTGATTTCCAGCGACTCAATAATTAAACAAAACGAAATGTCAATTTACGAATGGGAGGAACAAACGTAATCATTTAATGGATTTTAATTTCATACAGTTGAATTTTCAGTGACGATGACAATTCTGATATAACCTTGGTAGCAGAAATACAATGTGTTCCTATCGAAGGAGTCTACATATTATTTCCAACAGATACCTTAATAAGATGCTATTCGAATCAATAATCTATGCTCAATGTTATTACCTCATTTGTTTTTTTTAATGCTCACTATATAATAAAATATCAACAAATAAACTGTTTCTACGTACGTACTTACTTCAAACAAAAGATTTTGCAACCTTTCTGTTTATTTATCGTAACACAACAATTCCCAGAAACCAGCAGTGGTTAAATTCGATTTGCTAGCAGGAGCAGGAACTCTAAACGCGACCTCATGGAAGACTTTGTTTTATAACTGTTGTTTAATACATCATTAATTGTGATCGTTTTCCTCTGAACTCATTCGTTTTTATTCTAATGAGTTTTATTGAACTAGTACTGTTCATATAAACGTTTTTAATACGTTTTCTGGATATTGGCTTATTTCATATAGAGAGAGATCAAATTTAATTATTTCGATCAGAAATTGTGGTCCAAAAAAATTTAGAAGAAACCAATTTTTTCAATATTTTGTTCAAAATTTAATAACCATCTAATTGCTACATTGAGTGAGTTTAAATGATTTTTGATTTGTATTGCGTGCGTAAGATCAATTCTTACGTAAGTTGTACAAAATAACGTTTAGAAAATATTAAATGTGTTTATTTTTATTATTAAATATTAATAATTCAATCGCTTCCATCGTAATTTTTATTTTCTGAATTTTTTTATGAATTTTTCTAATTTTTTCTTAGCGATTCCAAGAAAGCAGCCTGTTCAAATCTTTGTCGATTTCTGTTTGTTAATCACATGAGTCAGATGAAGGAAAGCGCATGTTGGATGGGGAGTGTTGTGAGTTCCTATGGAAACCCTATCGATAACTCCGCCCACCGGGATTGAGCAACATTTGCTTATTTAATTTGTAGTTTTGGTTTGCTTCAATCTTTCGAATGATGAAATGAAGTTTCATTATTGCAGATACAAAAAATGTGGTCGGATATGATGATCATTAAAGCATCAACAATAATCAATATTGAGAGAGACGTGAAGAAGGCATGTGGGCTTCTCATTGTCCACGGTGCGAGGCGACACTGGCTCAAAGGTCCTGTGAAAATCTCCGAGTATGATTTGAACATTGAAAGTTTGAAAAAAAAAAAACTTTTTTTTCAGAAAAACACCCTTGTCACAATTGAACTTCGGAGGGGGGATTACAATACAGCAATACCAGAAGCAAAAGTAATATATTGAATTGAAAACGTCAGTTTCGATGTGTTTGTTTCAGGCACAATGTGAAAATTGAGGACGACGAGATTGTTTTGGAAGCAGGCGAGCAATACGTGCCTGTGAGCATATGCCAACTCGTATTCCCACCGAATGAAATCATTGATTGCGATCCGCCTCACACCACCCAACTCGAATTTATTCCCACCGAATGAAATCATTGATTGCGATCCGCCTTTCACTACCCAACTCGAATTAATATATATTATTTTTTGAAATTATTTTTATAAAATATGAATTAATATTTGTGATGAATACTGCTAATAAACAGAATAAAGCTTTCGTGTTGAAACAGAAAAAAGACAACGTCGGCATTGATCTTCTGAGAAGCAGCTTTCTCGTAAATTGGCCAACAATCTGATGAACAATTGGGTGAACTTGCTTCGTGGTTTGCATTTCGCCGGAGTCCAATCAATTAAATTTTGTGGAGTAAGGTGCCACAAAACCTCAAATCGATTCTGTAAATTTTGGTGACACTCTGTATTAATGGATAATCAAGTAGCAGGCCAACCCATGTTCATTAACTGATAGTAACTCAAAATTTCCCTCAGCTTTCATTGAGATTCCAATAACTTTTTCTGTGTGCATAATTCATAATCGATTTTTGGCGTCTTCATCGCCGAATAGAAATATCAGCTGCATAAGAAAAAGCGTCGTCATAGTCTTCCTCCAAACTACATAGAAAATCTATTTCTTACTGATAACTGAACACAAACATCAATAGTAGAGTTACTATAGTCTTCTGTTAAACAACCAAATGTACACCTGGATAAAGTCACACACTATTAGTGTACTTTAATGGAAACCTTTGTTAATATGTCAATTTTTGAAATTTTGAGGCATATTTCAATATATTTGATACACACACATTTATTCTCGAGGGGAATGTGTTATAAAACAAGCCAAATTTTTTCGATTGATAAATTACTAAAATACCTATTACTATACATATTTAGGTAGAATTATAATTAAATGTAAGGGGTATTCAAAGAACACTAAGCTAAATAAGCTCTAAAAATGCGTTTTAATAAACATCTAATCAGTTTCTTCTTCTGTGCTAAGATTCTCCATTTCAACATCGTTAGCATCATCAATTGAAGCCAACGCATCGATATGAGCACAAAACGATGGCTCAATTGGACCGGATTTAAATGCCATATACCAGGAAGGTTCACGAGGGCCTGACCGTTTCAGCGTCGGCATTGGGTGCTGAAAGAAGCCAATTATTTAATACTGCTTGGCAATAATTGTCAACCTCCGAAGGGACTTGGAAATTGTTTGACGCTGATGCTTCATTAGCGTGGTCTTGTCGTGGGACTGCATTTGAGAAAACTCTTTTTTCATAAAATGACGGCTCAAGAGGACCCGATCTGAAAGCCATATACCATGATGGTTCAAGAGGGCCGGACGGTTCCAGTATCGGCAACTGCGGCTGAAAGCATTCACTTATTGAATTTTGTTTGTTAATTTTTACCAACCTCCGAAGCGGCTTGCAATCCGCTTGATACCGATGCTTTTGACGTTCCATTGGTACGGTTCTGACATGGAACTGAACTTGGGAAAGTTTTTTGTCGTTTGACGGATTCTATTTTGTTTGTCGTCTGAAATATAAAATAATATAAGTATAGTTGAAGTCATTTAAAATCACCTGAACAGAATGTTGCTCTTGCTGTCCTTGTATTTCTGGGACATTCAGTAAGTTATTATCAACATCTCCAATATCAACTCCAACTGATGGAACAGTTTGCACTTTTCGAGGAGCTTTGCGAGTACTACCAAATGAAGCCGTCGGACCATTTTGGGCATAGAATGATGGCTCAAGTGGGCCGGATCTGAAAGCCATATACCAAGAGGGTGTTAGAGGCCCGGATGGCTCCAGCTTCGGCAACGGAAGCTGAAAGTACACAACTATTGCGATTTAAATTTTAATGTTTTACAAACCTCCGAAGCGGCTCGCCAATTGCTTGATGCCGATGCCGTCGGCAATCTCGACTGATTCTGACGTGGAACTGCATTCGACAAAGATCTTGGGGAATAAAAGGATGGCTCAAGTGGGCCAGATCTAAAAGCCATATACCAGGAAGGTTCGAGAGGGCTAGATGGTTCCAGCGGCGGAAGCGATGGCTGAAAGTACACAAAAATAAAATTTTGAGTATTATTTTCAACAAACCTCCGAAGCGGCTTGCCAATTGCTTCTCTCTTCACTAGCATGATTCTGACGTGAAGCTGCATTTGGTGAAATTCTTTGTCGTCTCAAAGATTCCTCTCGGTTGGCAATCTGCAAAAATTATAAAACAATATGTGAATTGTTGAATTTTGATTCAATTACCTGCCGATTTGAAGAAGGCAAACGGTTGAACAATGACGTCCGATGCGTTCTGTAGCGTTTTTGCCATAACGGTGAACGACGCTCACCGACTTTTGAAATTCGTGATGTTGGCGAAACCGAAGAAATTCGACTGCTAACGGAGGAGCCCTAAAACACAAGTAATTAGCAAAAATTTTGAATGATTTAGATCAGGATATCGATGCTAGATATATACATACCCGAAGAAAGCGCCCTCCATTGGGCGACCCGACATCGGTTTGGATGCGTTGGAACGTGTTCCGAAGCTGAAACAAATTTTCAATTATCATTATCACTTTCACATTATTTCCACTATTAAGAAATACTAACCGAATCCCCCATGTTGGTTGGCTGACTGGAACAAGCAGACATAGGGCCAGATGAAGGCGACTCGTCATTACCATTCTAAACAATTCACATTAATTGAAGAAGCAAACATAACTATTTTCAGCTTACGCCTTTTTCACCAAATTGTCCTTGAACATTTACGAACATATCTCTCCTCTTTCGTTGATTCTTCGCTTTGTTATTACCGACTTTCATAATTATCGATTGGTCAACCCTAAAAGTCGATGATTTGAATGAGGAACAACTCAAAAAAGTGATCAATAATGTGACAAATTGAGTGAGAAGATCTCGCGCGCATGTTTGTGACTCTGCATATCGACCTAGCGGCATTGATTAGCAAGTTACAAGGTTTGAGGGCACGCGTGATAAACCATCTACTAGTCGAGTAATACCAAAAAAAAATCAAATTGACTTCAAAGTTCCAAAAAACTTTTCAAATATTCATTGGAAAAAAGAAATTCGAATTTTGGGATGATAAGAAACAGTGAAATCTTCATGAATTTCAGAGAAACTGAAATTGTGTGGTGCAGCCAAGTTTCGGTGATTATAGGAAGACGGCACAAAATTTTTTATACAAATGAGAGAAAAAATGACATAAGACTTGTAATGGACAGAAACGAGCGCCAAAATTGTTAGAGAACAAAAGGTCGAGGAGCGATAGAACTACAATGGAGCGAATTTGTGTGTTTTAATTACAATGGAGCGAATTTGTGTACTAATTCCCTGAAGTTTAAAATTTTTGAATACGAAAGGTTAAAAAACTATTTCTTCCGAATCAAACTTCGGATGTATTAATTCTCAATGCAGAACATCAAGAGCAAAAGTGGTAAAAGACATTTTCGAAGTATTTTGAATATTTTCTAAGACCTTTTTTCATCTTTGATAAAATTCTTTATAATAAGCAATTATCAGATTATTTTCAATTATTTGCAAAAGGTATATCTAGGCTTCACAGAAATTCTTCCCGATAGTGATTATCAGGAAGTCTCATGGAGTAGAGCGAATTAGTAGAACAAGTGAGAAGAAGAATGCCATTTGTGAAATCAGTTTAAGAAATGTTTGGCTTTTTTAAAGCACTCCTTAATTTCAATTGGGACGTTTCTGTTATTCGATTTTTTAATGCGAAATTCAAATATAAATTTGGGTTTTTTGTAGCCAGGAGTCCATCAAATTTTTATTAAATATTTTTGGACCCTCATTCCGATTTGAAATCATCCCATCAACATGTTTTTAAATTGTTTAAGGTCGTTTTTGGCATGAATTTGTGGTTAAGTTTTCACAAAATTTCAGTCCAATTGATTTCAACTCACAAATTCTGATTAAGCAAGAATCATTCTATAACCCGGTGATCTTATCGAGTTTCGGAAAATCTGGCATAATATTAATATGAGCGTGGTCTCAGAAAATTTTGAAGCAAACCTCTGAAAATCGGTGTTCAATTCGGTATGTCCAATATTAAGAGGATTGTGTTAGACAACCCATTAAAAATATTTCGCATTTTCAAATATAAATTCAATTTTTATTCAAGCAGAATAATAATCTTGGTTCCCTTCATTATTCTCAGATATACTTTGATTTCTCCTGGCAGTTGACGCTTTATATTCAATGTTGAAACGCGTTTTCATATTCTCAATTTCCAAATAGTTATTCTATTCTTCGTATTTTCCAATGATTTATTTCTCCTCATTTTTTGCCCTCAAGTTCATTTGCAATCGTAATAATGCATTTTTAATATGTCACCTTGAACAAACATTTCAGTAAAAAATTTAAAAAATAAATTTTTAAATCCCTCTTGACCCAAAATGTATGTATTCTCATCATTTGCTGGTTTCTCCTCATAATCCCTGAGTCATTTTTCTTAATAATATCTTCCTTTGATCTTTCACCAATATGACTGTTATAACATATGGTGATAAAAAATAGGATGCAACAGGATGTATAACAGCAGAAATTCAAATTTGAACGTAGTGGTGGGTAGGGGGCGGCGAACAGCTATAGAAAAAAAGTATGAAATAAATGAGTGACAAGGCATATCGCGCGCTAACGTAAATGGGAGGATGTGCTAATGAATGAGGGCAAACCGAGACGCAGTGGTACGCGGCAATCGAGTCATTCGATTGATTCCAATATTCACCATTTTCTGTAAGCAATTTCCAAATAATCACGTTTTTTTGAATATTACCAATTATTCTTCAATTCCTTGCGATTTTCACATTTCTTTCAGCTCACATTCTTCGCTCTTCAGCTCAATTATTTAACACTTGAAGCGACAACATCATTTTCATCTATCTATAGAAGGTAAGCTACAAAATAATGTATAAGCTGATGATATTCAAATTAACGTAGATAAATATGATCTAAGAAAGGTTCACTAAACCATGTTCTATAATGTTTTTTTTCAAACTAAAATTCAAACTATAAACATTTGATAAATATATATATATCATGAAATCCATCAAGAAAAATTTTGTTCGGAAATTTTTCGGATGAAATATTTTGTGGTTTTTAGTTCAAATAAAATTAATTTCAATGAAATTTTTAAATCCAAAATTTTTTTCTACTATATCTGCAATCCCAGTATCTTTTTAATGATAAAATTTTAAATGAATTTCATTTACATTTTTTTTTCTACATTTTAGACGTTTTTTTTTTGAAACAAATTACATTTTTCATTGAATGACAATCGTTAAATCTGTTTGAACATTGAAAAAATTTTTCCTACAAAATTTTTCGCAGAAAGGGGAAACATTTTTTTCAAAGGTAAAGACTTAAAACATTTTGTTATTTAAAGATTTTTTTAGAACTGTGTATACTATCGAGGTGACAATGAATTCGAACACAGAAAACGCACATAATAAAAACAAGGTAATTTAAACAGATTTTTTTATTTTCATAAAAAATAATATTACAGAATAGTAATAAGAACCAGCCAATAGTAGAAACCCCCTTCAGAGAGTCAAAAGTATATATTTTTTAACTATATAATTATTATTTATTTTCTGTTTCTCTTTAGGAATATGATATGAAAACGCGACCTAAGCCACTGGATTTCACCAAGCTTGACAAGGCTGCACCACGACGATCGAAACGTCTGGCGGAAAAGCCGAAAATGACTTTTCACCAATTTAAATAGTTTTTTTTGTTCTCCAATATATTCTCTGAAATTATTATTTTTCTGTTTTTTGTTGTCTAGAATCATCAATAAACGATATTTTTTTAACTTGAATTGTTTAAAATTTTTTCAAGCGTATTTGACATCGTAATTTCAAACGCTTAATTATTTGCAATCTGTAATCTCTTGGCTTATCTTGATGTTTCATATTTTGCAGTTATGGAGAAATTGGTAGAAAAGCATCACATGGAAGCCGCAAACGCCGGACAATACAGTCTAAATGTAAGTAAATTTTTTAGCTATTACATAAAAGAACAGCATAAGTGTTTAAAATGGTGGGAAAATCCGAAAAGTTTATTTATTTAAAGTAAACGAAACAATAGTTTGTTTTACATAATTCGTATTTTTATGAACAAAATTCTTTCGGAGATTTTTTCTTCTGAAAACTGCCACCAAAATGGGATACATTAAATATTAGCAATGGCGTTGAATATTAATCTCGTTTGCAAAAGATAATTCAAATCTAATTTTTGAGGTATAATTTAAAAATTTATCACATATAATTTATAGAATGGAATCCACAGCAAAAATAATGATTCCTGTGACGATGCTAATTACAAAATAAAGGAGGAGAAAATTAATCGCAAAAATGAAGAAAAGAATGAGGATAATATAAAAGTTGCAAAGAATCTGGAATCAATCAGTGAAGACGGATGCGAGAATGAGGTTCACAAGGAAGACGTAGAAGGAAACATGAATAGTGACGATGAAAAATTAGAAGTAGATTTGAAAAAGATTGGTTTTGATGCTGGAAACATGCAATCTGATGTTTTCATGATCAGCAAGGTTGAGATTGATATTCGATATGGCAATGATGAATTGTCAGTTGAACAAAATGAAGCAGCACTTAATCTTGAAGATGTGAGATTTTCAAATATTTATAGAAAATAATTAGTGTCAGTATCCAAATGCTTATAGCAATCAATCGAATCCGGTGAATCTGAATTGATCGGCATCAGATCGCCACAAGAGGATGAGCCACCAGTCGCGAACACCGATGAAGCTGAATATAACGTTAATGACCATTCAATTAGCTTCGAATATTACGAACCAGTGATATTTTTGCTCAGCAATTGTGAAAAAAATAATTAGTATAGCAAATTTTGAAAAATTATTTTTAATGATTGGTTGGAAATTTCAGTTAGATCGTAATTATATTCAGTCAATTATTTGGGCCAAAAACTCCGAGCCATTGGTTTAAAACGATGTTTCATTTAGAAAAAAAATGCGAAAAATGGATACTCAATTGCATTTTGAAAAATAATTTTAAGTATTCCCTTGTATAAGTGAAAGCTTTTTTTCAGATCGACTTCGAATTAGGGATGACGTTGCTAAGAAATTTAAATGCGAAATGCTTGCATTGCCGCTTCGTAGGCTTCACGTTTATGTCACAAGACATTTGTCAGTTTTCAGAAAATTCGCCATGATCATTCTCGAAGCTTTCGAAGCAAATTGATGCATCTGTATAATTTAGTGGCCGGACATGAAGAAGAAATGCGCCTTATTGACCTACATTTAGTGACAGAAGAGGTGAGCAGAGATTTTGTCCATTTACTTATCCAAACAGGATACTAATGGGTAGAAATGTGGTAAAAGGACGAGGATTAAGAAGCGGTGCATATTTTTAAAATTTATATATTTGAAATGCATTTTTTTCCAATTTTCAAATCGATTCGCTGAAATTATACAGTTGTTATTACCTAATAGGATCACCCAATGTTGCCGCTTAAAATGATCTATCAGATAATTGGCACCTCAATAATGATCATACTTATCAAATGTATATTACAATAAACTTTCTATGATTCCAGGAGCTCAGAAATTATGTGGAAGACGTTGAGAGTGATTTGACTTGGGCACTGAATGAGGCTCATTTGATTGATAATGGGGTATGTCCACCAAGAGATGAAGCAAGACGTCGTTGAGTTCATTTCTCATTGAATTTATTTTTAAAAAGATTAAAATCCATTGTTAGTTATAGTAGATATATTTTTTCGAAGTACTTTAAACTTTGAGATTTCACATTGTCAAAAAATATTGTCTTACTGCGTATAAATGAAATAAAGGTTATTGTCATCTGTAGTATTTGTTGTTATATGTATATATATATGTGTATATATATATATAGGAAATATTTTGTACAATCTCGCCTTCAATAATTTAGAGTGGCCGGTGAGGTGTACATTTTTTAAATTCAGCATCACCCCCCCCCAAATTTCATGTTTGCTATTTGCACAGGAACACTTTTCTTGTGGAACTAAAAGGAAAAGCTTCGTCACTCAATCATATATATGTATAGAGTGTAATAAGCTTTTGAATAATCTACTTTTTAAAATAATTATATTTTATCATCACCATATTGCTGTTTCTATCGACTGCAAAAAGCTTATGGGATTTTCGTGCAAAACTGTGCAAACTGAATTGAGAGTGAGAAACCTCGACCTTCTCGCTAGTTGCTGCATGGCAACATAAAGGACAACCGTGTTTTATGCTCGAAAAGTTCTTTTTTGCATCCGCAAGGAAACAAAAAATTTATATCCTGATGATTTTCAACTCTCCGGCTTCAATTATATTTTGCTATGCTAATTTACTATGCTTAATAGGTTAATTGAACATGTCATTGTTTTGACACCAATGTGAAATTCACTAGAAAAAAAAAGATTCCGGGCAAATATCATTATAACTCATGTTTTAAAATATAATCGGATTGACGAATTTTCGAAATGCTTTTGCCTCAATGCTAAATCTTCTCATATATATTCGCAGTTTTCTTCAACATTTAATAGAACATCTGGCCCCGTGGCACCAAGATTTCTGCTCACCGGTCGATTGCGTCGAGTTGCATTTATTGCATATATACTACATTTCTCAATGCTTAATCATTCAATTCGAGCACACGATTCAAACCGAAACATCTTATATTGATGGCTGAAAATTTATGCGCAAAATTTATCCGCATTCTCACTTGATATGAATAAAAAGGGTGGGATGGGAATTTCAAAAATTTCGATTAAAACGCAAAATGGAAAACCGCTTTATAATTTATATTTACGTGACTTCTCCCAATTTTTTTCATAGCTACCAATATTAATGGTTTTTTTTAGCGTTTTTTTAATCTTCCAGTGTAATCCTTGAGCCCTCTACTCATTTTTCATATTACAATTTTTCCCATTGCCTAATTAATTGAATCAAAATAAATACATTTCCAAAAAAATTTAATTCGATAAACCTAATTGAAAAAAATTGGTTTATATATATATATATATACCAAATTTTGATTGAATTTCGCACATGTTCGCCAAATTCTTGATTGAATTGCTAGAAAATAATTGAAATGTCTAGACTGATTCGTTTTCGACGTTCACACCCCACTAAAAACAATTTTTCAGCTTGAAGGACAATTTTTTTGGAAAGTTCGCCAAACGCCATTTTCTTGGTATGACATTTGTAACTTCATAATTATAAGCTGAAAGTCATAAATATATAGTTATTTCAAGAAAATTTCAGATCGGAAAACTAGCAAAACTATTTTTATAATCAAACAATTTGTTTTTTTATTCCCTCATTGATTTTTCTGACTTGATAAACGGTTTTTCAGCTGGCCGGCCTTTGCCTTTGATCTGTCTCATTGTAGCAACGAAATCCCCAAATGCACTATTCTTTTTTTATTTTTTTTAAACAAAAAGATGAATTATTGAGCGTATCGCTGGGAAACAATGGCCATATATAATTCGAATTAACACGAATATTTTGGTTTCTCTGCATGCATTTCATTGTTTGTTTCCTTCGCATTATTTCGCTTTCCCCAAATTTCCTATTGCCAAACTCACCATTTTTCATTTCTCCTGATTTTCATCTATTGCTTTCTCCGTTCGAAGATGCTTCCAATTCGCGAGTTATTAGGACAAGGGTTTCAATTTAAGTGAGTGCCAACATTGTCGACGACGTGCACCGTCTTTTTTTTCTTCTCATTTCAGTCTTGTGCTTATAAATACTTCCCCGTTACAATCACCGGTTTCTAACTTTTTTTTTGAATACAATTCGTTGAAAAATGATGGCATAAAATAATTATATGGGCTTTTCTTGTTGTTTGCAAACGTGGGTCAAAATTGCCCCTTCCCGCCTCCCTTTTTCGCTAATCATGAGTCAATTTTTGTTTTTGGTTTATCAAACTCACTGCCGCTGCTTTCATTTTCCGCCAATACATTATTTGGATGATTGGTTTTGCTTTCATCACAATTTTTCATCATCTCATCATCAACTTTTCGTTTCTATGGCAAGGACAGAAAAGTCTCTTCATGTGATATCAGTAAAGGATTAACGATTCAATAAACATTCATATTTTATATAACACGATTCATTCATTATTTCTCACATTTCCACAATTCGGTCCAATAATTCTTCGTATTCACCTTATCAAAAAGCCAATTTTCTTCGCGCATTTCTTTTCACTAGTAAAAAAATGTTTTTCTGGGTGAGGTGAAAAATATTTAAAATTTTCACCTGACATTAACCAACCCTGTCAGTTTCGTTTTTCAAACCTATACGATTTTTACACGACATCGAAGTTCACATTAATTTCATTAAATTTCAAAAAAAAAAAGAACGCCACTCCTCAAAAAAAAAATTAATCTCATAATATCCCATTCTTCCTTTCTTCCGGAGCCTCTCCGCTGGTTGAATTCGGCTAAAAAAAGGGTGCAAAAATGGTGTTTTTTGAATGAATAATACATCAAAAACGTCGAATAGGAAATTATTAGAATTCTTCGATTAGATTTATGAGTGGTGTCGTTTCTAGGACCACGTCCTCTTCCATTTATTTGTTTCCCTTTTTATTTGAAAAAAATTGTCCACTCTTACTTATGCAACCGTTTTCGAAAAATGGATTCCAAAAATTGAATCGATTTCAGGTGAATGTCGCAATCCGACGAATCTCTGGCGTCAGCCGCTCATGCCGAGCTTCTCAACTCATTGAAGACACCCGAGCAACTCGCCATGCCACCATATGTCGCGCCATTTCTCACCGACCGCTATCTTCAATGGCACGCCCAATTCAACACGGAGATTATGAACTTCTTGGCGCAGCTCGAAAAAAATCCCGACGCTTCGCAAATTCGCCAACTCATCAATTACATCGGCAAACGCAACGCGATCATCACCATGTTTGATCAATCGCAGGAACTCAAACAGGGATTAGGAATCAGGCGTGACGCGACCGGCCCGCTCGACATTCGCGCCGAATTCCAAGAGCCAATCGGTAAACTAAATGTTGATTACTTCACTATCGTTATACGTTTTTCAGCTCTTCCCATTCAATGCTACTTGAAAGTAGCCGATCAAGGTGACTCTAATCTCATTAACTCTCCAATTATTCCATTGATTTTAGACGTGAACGGCGAGAATCTCAAATCGGACGGCGATGAGAATGAGTCGCCAATCGTTGGCAGTCAGTGCGTGCCAGACAAATGCGGGACCACCGACTAATTGTGTGTTGTTAACTGCCCAATTATTTATGCACATATTTATTTTGACTATATTTAAACGTTTTCCGAGAAATAAGAGTTATTTGTTCTGCAAAAGGCGAAACACCCAATATGGATTATAAACATTTTGGAAACCATTGATTTTGCAATATTGCAACTAGGCGTTTGCTCTTATTTTCTTTTTCTCAGCGCGAATTAGTTGTAATTGGTTGGTTTCCGAAAAATCTTGTCAACAAACTGCGTTTTTCGCTTATTTTTTTCACATTTCTATTTATACTAGTCTCGTTGGTTTATTAATTTCCGGTTGTCGATTAATCACCTGCTTCAAGCGTGTCTTACGCCACATCACCATGCTCGGAAATTTCAAAAATCGAAATTGATAAACCGAAAATCATATTTTATTTTCGAAATGACGAAGCTTGGAATCAAGCCAACTGACAAAACGATAAATGGAACCGTTTGGGATGAGGAGAAACTGATGTGAACACAACGGTGTGCAAACGGGAGAAGATCAACATCACTAGAAACAACAACTGAATGAATCATGATAGATCACAAGATGGCACAAAGAGCCGGGAAAAATAATGGTGAAGAATCTCAAACGAATAGAAGAGCTAAATATGTACTCGTAATGAAAACGATTTGAAACATTGCGTGCAAGAATGTCAATTTTTAAAAAGTAAGTAGTTGTAGAGGCTGATGCGGTGTCAAGAAGATATGTGCGCTTCACCGAAATGTGCGTTGATAGTCGTCAGTGTAGGTGTAGTAACTACTGAAAATACGCACAAATTACATTGATTATCTGAAATTGTGAGCGCGTGAACGAATTCTACGCGGTTCTCCTTCTCATTGTGAAGCGTCTGGGAACCTGAAGTGTGGAAAAATCGAAATCATACTGTTTTGGGCGAGTGTCATAGGTATCCGTAATAAATGATGACATATGATGATGAGTGTCCGCTGGAGGCTCAACAATACTACAACGGATTTTTTAAAATTAATCTCCATGTATAAATAGATTAGCTTACTATTTTGGAAACGCGTGCATTTTATCATAAAGGGAGATAAGGGCATTTGCGATGATGACAATTGGGACCAATAGAATCAAACATATCAGCATACACATCCAAGTGCCATTCTGAATCATTAACAAAATGAACTTTAAAGCAATTTGTGAAACTTACAAGAGGGTCAATGGTGTTTTGACAAAGTGCAGAGGTTGTATAGGAAGCGATTCTTGAGATTGGAACACATGAGGTGACGTCCGTTTGCATCTGAATTAATTTTGCTTTTAATCCCTTAAACAATGTGTTATATATGTACATCTTGTTTCACATGATCGATGTATTCATCAACATGTGCAATCATCTGATCAAACTCTTCCTTGGCCGCGCGAGCAAAATGCTCTTTCATATTCTCCGATAATAATGCTTGCGCATGTTGGAGTTTCACTAGAAGAGAAGAAACTGGAAGTTGGAGTTGGGTGAGCCTAAAAACTTCTATTTTATATAGAAATATATTAATTCAAAACCTTTGGTCTAAAAGGGTGATGTTTGTATATAAAGAATCCAATCTCATTCGAAGAGGCTTCGCGAATTCCACTTCCATCTCGCGAATCTGCTCAAGCACCAATGTGACAGCTTTTGGACGTCCCGCCGACAAATCCAAGCTCTCCTCAAACTCGCGCGTTTTAGTGATGAGATCCAACTCATCCATCGCGTGTTTGATCTAAAACAGCAACAATCAATTGTAGGGATTGATGTTTGGATAATTTTTTACCGCGTTGAGACCCTGCTGACTGAACTTTGTAATATTCACATTGGCCAACTTTTCCAAATCATTGAGCTCATTCTTGGAAATAAAAGCGTCTAGTGGTCGCACGTCCGGCATGTTTTCCATCATTCTTTCCAAATATGTCTTTAATTGGTTGTAAGCTTCCTTCTCAAATTCCTTCAACTGGTTTAGGTGGTACTTCTTGTCAAAGTCAAACATGTTGTAGAGAGTTTCGTTCCTCTGGCAAGCTCGAATGATCTCAACGGGAGTTTTTTTGTCAAGCAACTCCTTGACATCTTGACTCAATTGATATTTGCTTTTCAAAATCTCAACATATCGTTCGGCCAGCTAGAAACATATTATATAATAATTAATTTTGAATAATAAAAAAAATATATATTATAAAATTTCACTTACAGAAAGAGCATCTGGCCTTGTAAGCGGGTTTCTTAATGGTTGGCAAACGTTGCTCGAAATGTTCCCAGCGACAAAAATGATGATCGCCGTCGCCAATGCCATGAACACGAAAAGCGCAATGAACACCCAAATTCCGCAACGGAAGAATCGGCCTCCAGTAGTTCTTACACAACAATCATCGTTGTAATATGTTGGGCGCCTTCCACACAATCCGTACAATACTCCGATGAAGAAGCACAGAGCGATGAGAATGTAGAGGCTGGAAACTGCTAGGGACGCATACCAACTGTAAAAAAGATTTTGCGGAGTTTTGGAATTATGTCATGCCTGTATTGCACATATTTAATTGTTGGTGACTTTTTGGTGTCCGAAATATACGAAACACTATTGTATAACTGCTCAAAGTTGACTTGTCGAAGCTGGGTTGAAATCGTCTCGGCGACCACAAAAAGATCATCGCCAATTTGTCTGAGCATGTTTTGAGCAACTGAAAAATATTGAATTAGTCATTGAAATATACCAAATCTCGCCATGAGTTTCCTTGTTAATTTCATGTTGAATGGTGGATTCAAGTCGGGCGAATTGAGCATTCGATTCGCCAAGTATATGAGAAATGTTGGCGTTTACAATTTGCGATAGTGCTGCTTCCGTATTGGCACTCAAAATTTTCTGAAAAACATGAATTTCAAGATTTTGTCGATTATTTATCGACAAAATCTTACAGGCTCAATTTTGAATTGTGTGACTGCCAAACTTTCCAGAAGGCGTTCCGCCTTCGTGCACATGCTTTTCACCGGCTCCATCTCATTTTCAACGCATTGCAAAAGCTCGTCATGAGCGGTGTTTCTGAGACGACTGAATTCAGCCTGAAATCAACAAATTTCATCAAGGTGCCTGAAATCGAACGTCAACCTCAAATCGTTGCCCTTCTTCATTTAGGAATCTAATCTTGTCGTTGACGTATTCCAGGCCACTTTGAAGATCTTGCGCTACACTGCTCACATTCAAGAACACATCGATGACGTGAGCTCCTGTTAATCGCTTCACACGATCCACTACGTTATGCCCAGCATTTTTCAATTGATTATTGATGGTCTTATTGAGAACTTGATAATCTTCAATAAGAAGTTTTCGTATTCTCTGAATCACTCATTATTCAACGTCAATTCGATTATTTTCTGAATTACCATATCATTATCTCTTTTGTAGACATTCAAGTCATCAATGCACTGATTTACTCGATTCGGTAGCTGATCCAATCCGATTTGGGCATACTGGCTAGTCATGAGGAGGGTGAAAGCAGAAAATCTGCAACGACAAAACACTTCGGATTGCTCTTGATAGGATTTGCTTACACATTGAGAATCACTAGGAAAAAAACTATAAAATTGAAACATCGTCGCTTACAGGCGTCATGTTTCGCATCAGTGCTTTGTTTTTTAGAGCTACTTGAGCAGCAACACGCACAAATTCTGCAAATTCGAAATTGAGCCTTTTTTTTGCAAAAAAATTACATTACTTGTATAATATGAAGAATATTACGAAGAGGATGCTGAATCCAATGATCCCTAGTGAAAGTCCAATCCATCCTTTCTGCCACTCAATCCACTGAAATTTGATACATTTGATTTCTGAGGCTTGTAAAAGTGCTGCCAAAAATCCGGTTTTGGTCTGACTTGCTAATATGTTTAGTGTCAAGTGCGCTCCAACGCGCCAAACTCAAAAAGGTAACTCTCAAGATTATATTTACCCTTTTTTTAAAACATAGCACACTTGAGAAAATCGGAAAGCTTAGCTTGAAGGAAAGAAAAAATCTAATTTCGATTTAATCAGAAATTTTTATTAAGTTTGATGCACTTTCTCATCCAAAAATTTTTTAACTTTTTGCATTAAAAAAAGCATTCTCAAATTCACCACCCTCCCCCCCCCCACCCTAATTTTACAATACATGTGAATCCGGTGTTCCATGCAATGGTGCGAATGCAAACATAAAAACTAGCCGATTGACCGTTTCAAATAATGATGGTGGAGGCTCATGCCGCTCAGCTCCTATTCAGATGATCAAGTTTCGCCTATGTTACGAAACATGCATCATCAAGCGCAAACAAATCTCGTCATCTCATGCCAACTTCTCAATTCGATATTACGTTCTTGTAGCGACTCATTTGAAAAAAAGAAATGCGGCTCGAAGAAAAACTAAATGTTTACTTTGACCATCTTTGTGTGATGCGCCGACCAAAGTGAATGACCATCACATTTTTTTCCATCCTTTTTTTCGACAAATATTTGTTGAAGCATCAAATGAAAACGTGAATGCTGGCTGTTGAAAATAGTAAGCATTGTTTTGCGGGAGGAAACAAAAAACGGTGCGGAAAGTATATTGGGGCAAAAAGAGTGAGAAGTTTGTAATGAATAAAGAGCAACACCGAGGAACTAATTAATAGCACCTAACACGGTCATGTGCGCCACGATACCATAATTATAGAAAGGAAAAAAGACAATCTGAAAAAGTTTTTTTTATAACTTTGATAAGGTAGACATTGAGGCATTATGCTTCTCCCCAACATATTTTGTTTTTCCTCCTTCCTTAATTCGTCTGATCATTCGTGGAAGGTTCATATCGAATGCGCATTAAAACAATTTTATAGCGTTGTATACACTTCAGTTCGCTATCATCCCATTTATAGCCGATTAAAAATGTTTCGGGAACGGTTCATAAAACCGCGAAATTTAATGACCCGTTTGATTCTAATCCGTCAGGTCTCATAACCAACTTTCCCAATGTCGCAGCAGGGGGGGGGGAAGAGAACACTCAAATTCGATATTTCTCTGTCATCATCCGCCGACGCTTCATCAACATCTTACTCCTCCCTTCATCCCACTTCTCCGAATGCACTCCATTTTCGGTTGGTCATCCGTTTTCACCGCACACCAGCATAATCATATTTACGAGGCAAAATTGCGCGCGACTGAACGGAAGGATGGAAACGCAATCGTATTATCAATGTGATGAAGAAGAAGAAGAAGACGACGACGGCGAAATTGTGTAGTAGGTGTCGCGCGGGCGCGACACGGGTCACCAACATTGAGCGTGTTGGCTCAAAGGCTTTTCGTTTCGTAAAGCGGCGTGGGAGGAGGGGAATCCAAATTTGGGAACAAGTCTTGCCGAAATACTGTCTTACCTGCCAATATTTGGTCTCGAGCGATTCTTGAAGTTCGTCGATGTCGCCAAGTAGCGCCTTATTTGTAAGAAGTTCTGCAAAATGAAATGTCCATGAAAGGAAATGAATTTATGTTGTTTTTGAGGGGAAAACCACCGCGGTAAACAGCTGAACGCTATTTCTAGACTAATAAGCTTTAAAAGGTAGTATCAGTAAAAAGAAGGCTTGATGAATTGGAAAAATATAGTTTCTTTTACAAAATAGATAACCTAAATGTCAACCCATCACTTCCGCAATTGAAAAAAAAAATCCACTTTGCAAAAATGCAAAAATCGAAAAAAACTGGTTTTCAATTAAAACATCGCTTGTCTAAAAAAATGTATTCGACCATTTTCAGCGTTCATATTTTTTTCGGCTAAGTTTTTTTTCGGCTGATCTTTGCGCGTTCGTATTTGAACCGGTATTCTCACCAAAGCCTTATGAATCGCATTTTGCATTCCTCAATCGGAATAAGTAAGACTTTGTTTTCCTCGTCAAGTGTTTGCGTTGGCGATGAGTTGATTTCGGGCCGCCACAAGATACTAAGGCATACAAACCTCATTTGTACATACTAATCATTTTTGGGAATTACGCATTCAAGAGCAAACATTCGACGAACCTTGATGTGCAAACGGCGACGATATCCAGGCGATGAGTTGATCAATGTTCTGATAATAGAACGCCAGAACGTTGTCGGTTTTGCGCGCGTTTCGTTCAGTGGCGAACGAGCCGCATTTGTATTGCTCCGCTGGTATGTAGGGTTTGAATTCGAGATTCGCGCTAATCAAGCCGACGAGCACGAATAGCAACAATATCATGGGCGCGTCTAGAAATATGGCATCATCAGCCAATAGTGCACACGTCCAAATATTGCGGGGAAGAAGGGGGAGGGGTGTGGAGTTTTGTGACGAATCAACAAAAAACAACTAGAATAAGATGGAATGTACTGCTAGTTGTGTGTGTGTGTGTGTGTGTGTGTGTGTGTGTGGACTGGCTAACTGATCGCCGGCGCAGATACACGTGTGTGAGTGTGTCTGTGAGAAATGGGAATGAGCGCGCGCGCGCGAGCGAGCGAGGCCTGAGAGTGGGAGGAGGAGGAGTAGGAGTGACCACGACCCGATGAGGCTGCTGCTGCTGCACGGTGTGTTGCGGGCTTTCAAAAAAAAAGATGAGACGAACACTGTTTGTGACACACCGTGAGAAACCCTTACGTAATACCTAAAATGGCATGCGACAATTCCAAGGTCCACACTTGAACTAAGAAATCTTCTACTAAAATTTGTCATAATAACGCTGATATGATAGGCAATGAAAGAACCGACTTATGATGAAAGCTGGAACTGGTCGTGGTACTATTGAACGCATTCAAACGGAACATCTCCATCTAACGGATAATGTTTGTTCTGCTTCCAAATTTGAGGTCACTGCCCGGATTTACCGGATTATTGGTTTCTCCTTTTCCGTTTTGGTCAATAGAACTTTTGAAAAGAAAAAAATGAAACGAGTTAGTAGCTAATGATCCTTGCCTAATCATCGATCAGAACAAAAAATTTCTGGGTATTAGAGATATTCAATTTAGAAATGGAAGCTGAAAAGTTTAAAAATTAGTCCTAAGGTTTTTTTGTAATAAATTATTTTCTAATTGTACAATACAAAATTTGTTTAAAAAAAACTGAAAAAGACGAAACAACCCATGAAAATAAAAAAATTAAAGATCTCCCAAAATCTGCAAGGTACCATAGTATTAAATGGTCCCAAACATAAGAAAAAAAACTAATTTTTGCTAGACTCATATTTAACTAACAATTCTTTTATTTCATCTTCATTGGAAAACGAGAAGGTAACTGCATAGGCTAAAAATGCTGTAATTTTTGAATTGTCGAAATATGCATGTGAATGCTAATGACTCATAACCATTATTTTCAACAAAGAAAAAAGAAAAATTCAAACATAAAAATGAAATAAATTGACATATTTTATTGGAATCTAAGAATTGCGATTGTTTGTTTGGAAAATTATTTGCATTCGGCTCTCGGCAATTTGTATATCCCTGGGAAAAAGGCTAAATAAAATGCAAAATTGAACGTGTCGAATATCAATGGACGGGGGATGGGGTCCAATCTCAATTAGAAATCATTATAAAGCAAATTCCAAAGTGCGAAGTGGTATGGCATGAAAGTGAAGATAACGGTGTACTTCACAAGAGAATTGAAATGACTCACTTGAAAATTTGTTGTAAAGTTGTTACTGATGGAATTTCGAGATCAGATTTTTATCGGTGAAGGTTCTTGGAATTCAACAAAAGCAGCGTTGAAAACAATGTGATATTGGGGCAATGATTGCCTTTTTTCTTGTTTGCCATGAGACGTTTATTGGAATAAAACCAGTGGCGATTTAGGTGGCAATATAGACAAATGTGTGTAAACGGAAGATAACGTATGTAAGATTGCATGATAATCTGCACTAACGGGTAAAATCAAGAGGTTAATGTTCAGATATTAAAAAATTTTTAAATGCACTAAACAATAATTTTTTAGCATTTTCAGATCGCATGAAAATTCTATAAAGAGTACATTTTTTAGCACTTTTGTAGTCCTTCAGACAAACTAAAAATAGCGCAGACAAAAAACTTGCCGCATTTTGGAGAAATGGAATACCGTATATTTATTGAATTGAGGGATTTTTATAAATATGGGATGGCGATAATCGTTTTTACACAAACTTCGTCTTCATGTTTTTCTTATTGGCTAAAATCCGCCTTTCTCGTAATCATCTTACCAGAATGCCCGAAAAAAACCTATCCTATTTGCGTCATGAAACGGATAAAAAAAACGCCATTAATATGCATTTCGGCAAAGGTGTCTTCAAATTGAAAAGGATGAGAATATGACAATGGGGGGGGAGTCGCTGGGGAATTTTTTGGTCAAGCATTTTTTTTCCAAATAATTTCTCTCTCTCTCTTTCTCTCGAAGGGTCTTTTTTCAAGTTGTCAACGTGTTGAACAATATTATGCGAGTGACTGAAAATGAAAGAATGGCGGTGCGAAAAAGTAATAAAGAAGCCAATTCCCGGCAGCCATTGAAGACGGAAGAGGGGGGAGAAATCGAGGATGCGAAAATGGCACCCGCAGGCGAACGTTGAATTACATTTTTTGAAGCGTTTAATGTATCATTTCGTTCGGTGAAATGCGGTGGAAGGAAATAAAGAAGTTTTGCGTTTTTTTTTTGTCTCCATCCTCTCATTTTTTTCGTCGATTTTGAAGAACGCTAATTGTGTCAACGAGAAGGTCATTTTGCCGGAATAATTGAATTGCAAACTAGCCAAAATCAACTAGACGTGGATTTCAAGTGGGATTACCCAACGGCCATTCCGAAATAATTTTTTGTAGGTTTCTCGTCATCTTCATTTCCACTATCCCATTATTATTATTATTGAAGTAAGCTTTTGAATATTTCACAATGCCGCAAAAATGGTTGCCGTCATTGTGGTTAGCGCACTTCGCAAAATTACATTTTCGAGATTAGTGTGCCGTCACAAAAAATTTTTCTCACTCTTTTTTTTGTGCGGGGGAAAAAGTTAAAATGAAAAGAAAAAAAGAATAATTGAAAATACGAAGAAATGGAAGAGAACATTGGCGAGAAAAAAAGTTTTCTGAGAAAATTTATCAAAGTTTATTGAACATACCATTGGTTATTATTTTATTTGAAAATGTTAAGGAAATTTGATGTTTCCACAAAATTTTGTTTACAAAGAAAGTCAAACTATTTCTTTCCGAAATTTTCCAGAAAATGATTAAAAACATTAAAACACAGTATTTTTTATTTTTTACAAGTGCTTTTCTAAAATTTTCTCTTCATTTAAATGTGAAAAATTAAAATGAAGTTCAAATTATAGTATGATCCATTACAAGTGGCGAAAACCTAGTGAAAAACGCATGACCGTAATACTACCAAAGTACAGTAGTCTCCAAATAATAATTTCGAAGGAAACTGTTTTTTTTTCATACTACTAAAAATTTCACTTCAAAATTCCTATTGAGAGAAAAAGATGTAACGTGTACGTCGGGGTCAAACGATTAAATAAAATTCAATAAATTATTGGCTATGTGCCAAGACAGCGAGAAATGGGCAAGGCTGCGTATCACATTATAGCGTACGCGCATTTAATATTCAGTCAATGATAAATTAAAATCTACACTAATTTTGAGAACTTGAATGTCTCACTCTCCCTTCAGTCGTTTAACGCCGACAATACAATTATAATCGTTGGTGTGCATTAAAAGCAAAATTTTAACATCATCTCATGTGGAATAAAAATATTCATAATATTGTCTGTAATTGGGAGAATTCTAAAATAATTGATGATGAATACAATTTTTGCACACCCCCCCCCCCAGAAGTACGCTCTTGCAAATCCGGTTTTTGGAAATTCATATGAGTTATTTTTCCTAATTGGTTGTGTGGAAGGAAATATCGATATTGAAAAAGGAATGTGCCAAAGTCGCGCAATTTCAAAGTCGAAAGCAATTCAATTTGAACGCTCTACATATTTTTTTCCCAACGTATTTATTCTCATGTAAAATCTCGCGCCTTGGTAATTATTTGCATTTGTAAACTTGACTGCACATGTGTCAATATGTCGATAGACGCTTTCTTCCTGAAATGCAACAACACCATCCAATTATAAATGGAAACTGTTGGGGCGAAATTGTTGGTTGGCACCACAGTGTGTAATTGATTCTCGCCACAACACACATCAATCACCAAAAATGACGGCAAAAATGAACAAAATGTATTTTTTTTGGACAGAGAAGAAGAAAAGTGTTGTTAGATTTATATTATGCCAATAAGACAAAGGAAGCAAGTGGAGGGAAACAACAAACAAGTGAAATGATTCATATGGATGTTGCGCAATTGAAAGCTGCTATCTAGCAAGTTTTTTTGTCCGCGTTAACGTTGACCATTCGATTATCTTCGTCTGCTGCTTCTTATGGAATTAACGACAGCCAATCCAGAGATAACGGCAAAAAAGTGAAGAAACTATTAATATGTTCATGCGGTATTCTAGTTATTCAATATACATCAAATAATTGCGAACACCATTTTTTGCAAGAAATAAATCTGTTAGAACAGGTTTAGACGAAAATACCTTAATTAGACGTGTTAATTACGCGATTGATTGATATTAAATACAAATGCACTTTTAAACATAATTTCAGCTAATGCCTTTGTCATTCCAAATAGTTTAGGTTATCCTTATATCTAAGTGATAAATTTTGCCTTAAATCACCGTCCACCAGAAATTTTAAATTGTAACATCTAGATTTTTTCAGTTATAAATATGAAAAACTCAATTGATTAGGATTTCTCATATAACAATGCTAAGAAAGAAGGAAAACATTTTACTGCAATCCTATACATAAAGTTTCACATAAAGAAAGCGGAAAAAGGAATAAATCACAAGGTTGCATCTTCTTTGCGGAAAATTTCTATTCGCTAGATAACAGCTGTTTTAAACGAAATTTTTCTTTATTAAAATGAATTTATTAAAAAAAAACATTGCATTGTAATATGTAGTGCTTATTTGTAATCTCCGCCTTTTGCTCTATCGCCTTCATCTCAAGACGCAACAATCGACAGAATTCTGTTGATTTGGAATAGACAATGCAGCTCATAATTTTGAAGCTGCTGTTTCCTAATGGCAACAACATATGCATATATATGCATTCCTATAGACACTTGGGCGATTGGTGCACATACCGATTTCGTACAGCTCCTACAGTCATGAGCCAGTTCCACTTTTTTGTGGTACTATGGAAAATTCGATATAAGAATGGAATAAAATGCACAGAGTTCAAAAAACCAAAATTGAAATTTCAAAAAAAAAAAAAAAACCAGTTTTTTGAGTTTCTTTATGTCAGCATATTCCCATTACGATTCTGGGAAAATTGTTCAGCTCAACAGGATGAGCACAACAGTCTCAAATTTCGAAAGATTTTCATCAACAAAGTGTGTTGCACATAAAATGAAATTTTTTGTAGACGATTTAATTTTTAAGAACATGTGCTTTTCGTGTAGATCATCGACACATTGGTAATTTTCAGATTATTACCAAATCTAAAATGTTCTTCACGTGTTATGGCATTGAATATATTGATTTAAATTTTAAGAAAATCATTCGCTATGTGTTAAATGATTTGAATTTCGTGTTTTGAATGTTTTAGAATGAATGCATTTAAAACTCAGGCAACTCGCAAATTTACAGCATTCTCATTTTGTGAGAATATTTGCCCCTTTCTCTTTTTAGTTTTGGTGATTCATCAACAATAATACCTGTAAAATTAACGAAGTTTCTAAGCATAACTTTCAACAACTTTTGGTTGCTTTCAAGCAAATCAACATTTCCTACTTTATTCGACGATAAATTCCTGAGTAGGAGAGGGAGAATAGTATTCCTGAACTGGTTGATGTTAAGGTAGTGTAAAATGGTAGATAGCTTCCGGAGACTAGATGTAGATTTACGGGCTTGCGTCCTTATATACTTCAGTAGCCGAACACTAACTAGAGGTAAATAAATCAGGAAAACAAACAAAAAGGATTATATTAATATGGTTATTATTGAAAGCTTCTCGAACTGTTTTCAATCCTTGACGAGATTTTCCATTGCAATTGAGTGTTTCGAGGCTTGAACGGTGTGATACTAAAGATTTCAATATTTTTTTTGCAAATTCAAAAAACATGAGGATCACTTACAAAACGAAACACCCAGTTCAACGTGTTCCTCGCTCGGAGATAATGATTTTCGAAATTTCTGTGCAACGCGTTGAATTCATCGAGACGAGTGAAGTTTTGATTATTTCTAATGAGAAGATAATTCTAAAAAAAACATTTAAATGTTTTAGGGATTCTCAACGAATTTTTAATACCAATTCTTCGCAAGCATCGTCTGCTCGTTTCTTAGCATTTATGAGAATGAACTGAAACAAATTTGATTAAACGTCATATTGCATTTGAAACATACCGTGAAAGTGTAGGAATCGGTAGTTGAAATGTTGCTCATTTTAAATAGCAGAAAATTTTTAACTGAAAAAAGAATGGAATTTTAGTCTGGTAATGCGGTTTTTATATATGAGTGTATGGACCGCCCATCACTTGATTTCCTACTGTAGCTTACACTTAATCCTTTAAAATCAAATGAATATGGCGGAAATCAAGTTCACTGATCATTGGAAATATTATGCAAGTCTTAGAAAGAATATGCGGAAGGTTTGAAAATGTCTGAAATTTATACCACTAATTTCATATGAACTTTGGTCAATTAGAGATGACACACAAATTTTAAGTAATATCGGTTTTTAGAGTAAAATTTACTTTAATCTTTTTTTAGATTTGATAGGGAAATCTCATAAATCATTGAAAACGGCAAAAGAATCTGAATAAGTATTAAAAAATAGACTTTATTCAATTAGAAAAGTCTGGTTTTTTCATTCTGTCTTAGTTGCGAAACTCATTTTTTTTTTCAGTTGCCATGAACTTAAATATTACTAAAATTAATTAAATGCGATGTTTCCCTCAATAAAATATTTGAAAATTTCAAATATTAAAAATTCGAAATGTTTAAAATTTACCAAGAAAATATAATGGTTTGATGTTCTGAAATTTAATGTGTAAATCCGCACATTTCGAAAGAAAAAAAAGCACATCAAACTTTATGCTTATTAATACATAATTTAATCGGAGATTGGGCGACGAGCATCCGTAATTCGATGTCCGTTAGGATTACACGTGTCCGGGGTTAATCAGAAATAACTAAAATGGAAAATTTGATACATCTCAGCTAACTCTAACCAACTCAGGTAAATGATTATGAAAATCTTTTAAGAATGTGATGATACAAATTTTGACAAAGTAAAATCTAAATTCGTCGCGGTTTTCGCTAGATAACGAAAATCTGCATTTTTCACTGTACTGTACTGTGAGAAATTGCAAACCTGTATTATTCATACTTACAAAGATCTTAGAAATATTTAGAAAAAATTGCAAGGCTTATAAATTAGATTTTCAATTTCGACTATTTCTAGTCTGATGCTGAAAACTCGACTATTTTTGACCATGTATTTGTAAATTGATTCGCAATGGTCATTATCCTAAATTGGCTTGCTACTCTTGACATCTGATATATGCAACTGTCACTTGACACTTGCTTTTTAGGGAAGATCCTCTAGCTAAAGCATTTGTGAATTAGTAAATGCTGAATAATTAGTTTCAAAAATGCAGTGTATTTCTCGGTCAACTAGAATTGAGCTTTTCGGTATAGGCTAGCTCAGGCACGTCAAGCATCAGAGCTCTTAAAACCGCTGATAAGCATCCTCATCCGTGTGCGTGCCAGTCGGTGTCATGAGCGGCGTTTATAATCCACTAACGTTATGCAATTTGCGTCTCAATATACACACATATCCCTCTTAAGTTTTAAGACATTAATAATCCGATTGATTCAACTTGTAAACACAACAACACTTTTTTTCTACAACTGAGGGGGGGGGGTACATTATATCTTCGATAGTACAAATAAATGATTTGCAATCTGATATTATTTGAATGTTTTAATTAGAGCAAAAATATAATATAAATAATGAGCGAGTCTAAACAGCGTCATTTTTAAGTCCAACCAATAATATAAAAAATGGGTGTGCGGTAGAACATTGCTCCTGCCCCCAAATTTTTAGAAAATATTTATCATGAAAAAACAAACTTTTGTCGGGTCTCACCACAAACTGCGTCTTTGGTGTTCCGCCATTGCTGAAATTAAAATTATCGACAATTCAAACAAGGCATTTACCGGAGTTCTTGCCTTATAAGTCCAAAGTCCCTATTCCTTTGAAACCCCTTCCAATAGAGCAAAAAAATGTTATAAGGGGGAGGGTGGCTTTTTTTGAGATTAGTTTTGCATTTAATTAGCAGATTGAGTAAAAATGAAGAATTCTTGAAACGCATTACAATAATTGTTATCGAAACGAAAATAATTATGAAATTTCTAGAATGAGAATATTGTGAACCGGGTTTCAGAAAATTCACATTAATTAATCATTACAATTCGTCATTTGAATAAGAAAAAATCCAATTTTAAATTAATTTCATTATTTTAAGTTGGTGATTAATATACCCTTGTCACATTTTTTGTGTTATAACGTGAAATTGATATTTTTTAATATTTCCCGAAATATAACTGTATCAAAATCCAAACCATTCTGATTTCTGTATGCCTATTTGTTCATCCATATTCTCCCAAAGAACACGTTTCAATTTGTTTTGTGTCTTTGATATAATAATTCATGGAAAGGAAAGGAGTATCTTCTATAACCATCATCTGTTGCCTAGATACTGAAGCAAGCTGCCGCCAAATTGTCTGCTACATATCTATGTTTTACTGGTAAAATTTCGTTTTCATTTTCTTTATCACATTTATCAATTATTGCCGCGACTGCTTAAAATTGGCTGAAATCCTATAAAATTAGACAGAGGTCTTGGAGTGCGCCTTTAACCTATTCTTTTGTTTTTAGCTCGTAAATGTACACAGTTGATATTGCGCCCGGACCTCTATTTGTCATTTTGCCAATTTTCGCGACGTCGACAAGTTTTGAGATTTTAGTGGCTGTACTCTTGTGCCCTCGTCTTTTCTCAATAGTAGATCAATTCGAAAGCAATGGCTCAGCAAATAGTTCCAGGATTCACAAGTTTGAGCATAAATTGTTATATGGATTTTATAATGATTAATATTTAAGGAAATGGGCCACAGCGACCGAGAAATAATATAAACATGGAAATCGTGCCTGACGCTGGTGAATTCCCACAACAAACTTATTACATATTATATTTTCAATGTTAAAGAGCTACAAATGGAAGCTGGATCAAACAGGGTGACTTATATGTGGATTTACAATGTCGCAATGATCCGAGTGCTATACAGGACTAGCGATTCGGAGAGATATATTTCCAGCTTTCGAACTGCTCCAAGTATGTTCAGAAGTTTATAAACCAAATAAATCATATTTAGTCTCACGCGATCCATTTACTATTAAGCAATATGTCGACAAGTATGTTATCCTATCACGTGCCAAAGTTGACAGTAATCCACCTTCAATGTTGTTGTTTTTTTTTTAATGAAAGTATTTTTAGCAAATTCTCCTGAAGTGAAGCAAGCGCTCTCAAATATGACATGCATCCCTTCTGAAGAAATCTACAGTATTTTAAATATTTTAATTTTTTACTAATGCCAAGGTTTTGAGGTATGAAGCAGCGTGAACTTTTGTATCCCTCATTTGGAGCTTCTAAAGTGCAGGAATGTCTAGGCACGAATACCTATGGAGGAGTTTTCTCATTCAATTCGAGCTATTTCAGAATGTCTTTTGAACATGCAAATCAATCTTCATCACAGTATGAGCAACAGCACTGATTGGTTTCTCAGAGATTTGGAGACATTACGCAGCACCTACCCGCCAGGTGAAAAACATTTTTTTGAGACCTTGAAGCAAACATAAAGAATTCAGAACTCGCCTTCAATCGAATTCGACTACTCGTACTATGGGAAATTGAGATTCAATTTCTCATTGTGTATATAAGTAATATCCTTTGAAATTTTAAGAATTTCATGAAGTTTTATATTTTCAGATAGATGCAGAGCTGATCAGTTTGCAATGTTCAACATTCCTCGACCAATGCCCCTTCGAGCAAGAGAGGAATAATTGCTGGGAGTAATAAATTTCTTCACCCAAATTCCAAGCTTTATCATAATCTTTTAATATAAAACATTGAATATGAAACCGAAAATCAAATTATGCTAAGTGCAAAAAAATTCCACTACAATACATATTCTCTCATGAGAAATTGAGCGGAATTAAACCCAACATGAGAAAGTTGACAATCGCTGATTATTCTGAAAAACACACACACACAGAACCAATAGCGTGACTCATTTTCCCATTTCCAGTTCCTATTATTATTTCCATAAAATTTGGTTCCGATTTAATTGCGTGCATGTCTTTTTTTTTCGAAAAAAAATTAGCTTCTTATTGGCTGCAAGGAACTCTTGTTAAGTGTTGGCAATTTTCATCTGCGGACAATTATAGTTCAAAAAAGATAGAGAAAGAGAAAGAAAAAGATGAACTGTTCAATAGTTGCTCCATCATGTTTTGTGCCCAATAACTGGACGCGACATTAATTTCTGAGCTGCTCATGAACACTAGAATATTCCACACTAAATTGTCTAGCTTTTCATTTCATTCAGGATATGGCCTCATTTCTTAACCATTATATACTTCGATATAAATTCTGAAAATTTCCCACCTAGAATGTTGCCCATAAAGTGTTGCCCAAGAAACAAAAAAAAAGCATCATATTCATCCATCCGCACAATTTTTTTCTATTTAAGCGAACAATACAAGTGTGGGAATATTGCGGGCCTGTCGTAAAAATTGTCATTTATTGTTTGGTTCGTTTTTCATTTCTCAACTGTTCCTGCTTTCTATTCTGCTATATCAATCATGAACGAAAGCGGCGAACCGTTGGAAATTCCCGATACCGATCTTCGTCAAATCTGCATGGTTTGTCAGCACACAAATATGATAAAATTCTCAATCGTTATTGTTCCAGCATCATCTGGCCACCGAGAATTTCCATTTTCAGCAAGCTGTTTCCGAAGCGGTAATCATTTTGTAAAAATTTCGAGTTTCAAATTTTCGCAATTCAGGAAAACATTTGGCAGCGTGCAACAACTTTTGTCAATTTCGCTGTCATCATTCGTAACAAGACGATTGACTGGAAGCAACGCTTCGATCGTTTCGTGTTGGAGTTCACCAATAAAGTCGAATGGACCACTAACGACTATGTACGTTTTATTAATAAAAAAGTCATGTGAGATTTCCACATATTAACCTAATTTTTTTCAGTTGGTTTGCTTCGTTAAACTGAACAGCTTTCGAAATGAACTTCGTGATATTATCAAATTATATCACAGCCAATGCGCCGCGACGAACATTCATCTTCCAAGTTCCGCATTGTTTTTTTGAGCTTATCGATGTTGAATAAATTTATTTAAGAAATTGTATGTTTTTTAAATAACGGAATTAAAAAAAAGATGTAGGCATTGAGCAATGAATTGAATAATCTATAGAGTTCCAGCGGTCTCCAAATTCACATTCGCATAGAGTCCCTCGCGCATTTCCGGAGGATTGTCAAGCATATCAGCAATCATTCTTAAAAAAAAAAGAGTGGTGACACACATTGGCAAAATCATAATTTTTTTTCCTCTTGAATGCTCTCACCTCCTAGATTTCAAGAAATCGAAGACGGCGCGTTCATGCAATACAAATTGGGTGCCTCTCGGGTCACCTGAAAAATAAAACCGTTGCGATCATAAAATTTTGATGCCTATATTTTTTTCGGCGAGCCAATTTATCACCGTTGCGAAGCGCTTTGAATACGGGCGCCGAGACGAAAAATATATTGACGCGGCCACGTAGTTCGGCGGCGTGATTCGATATTGTCTTCTCGAATTTGTCCATCGCTTTATCAATGTAGCGCTGTTTCAACAAATCGCACACCGGAATTTCATCACTTCGGCTCCGAGCCGCCAATTTCTTATCACATTTCGACACCAAGAATAATATCTGAGAAATCAAATTATTTAATTGATCAGCGGAGATTGGATTTTTACAGTTGTGCTTCTCCTATAAGCAATTTTTGCAAAAGCCAAGTCCGCATCGCTAGGATACTGGTCAACAAGAATGAATAAAGCAGTGAATGAGGCAATATTAAATTTGCTAAACAAAATTGTAACTATATTCTATAGTTAACAATCTTACTCAATAAATTCAAAATATGAATTGATTTTCTTGGGATAATGAAGCTCGTAGAGTGTCACACTGTACTTGAGAATGTCATCGTCAAACTCGAATCGTTCACATGTTCCGGCTTTTGATTTGCACTGAAGCTCAGAAATACTTTAATGGACAATCAAATATGAACCTTGGTTGCCGACAATGGATGCTTTGAGTTCATTCCCCTCATCGCATCAATTAGTGCTGACTTTCCGACGCCATTTCCACCAATGAGTCCATAATTAAAGCAGGTCTAGAATACTCCCAATTATCAAAAAAAAGGTTTGTCCAACTTTTCCCGCTCTTCTTATCATTGTCTTTGGCTCCAATGATCCATAAACCCTATCATCAGTTCCATACATGATTTCAAATCCAGCGTCGGCGAGAACCGTTGATTTTTCGATTCCATATGGCTGAGGAAGGCTATAATTATCAATTCTATGATTTTCAATGTCCATTCGAGACGGCCTAGTGATTTCTTCTCTCTGAAATTCGAAACAAAGTAATGTCTTATGAATTATTTGAATAACCTCTTTTCGAAGTTTTGATTCGAGCTCATAATGACATCCAGTTTTTAAATCAAGAATTTCCAGAAGTCTTTCTTCATCCAATAGATAGTGAAGGTATCTGAAAATCAATTAATTGCAAAATGTTTGAGGGGTGGATTTTGCCATCTACCCAACAGTTCCGCTGACAAGATTTCTTGTTGTCGGTGCGCTGACAAACAGGAGCTCAATCGAATTCAATATTTGCGCCTTCTTTTGCAGATATTTCGCAAACACGGCTCTTGCCGATTTTTCATAATGCTGTTTCATTTGCTGATCGATTCCACGGCCGGTCTCTCTGCTCTCCGCGTCGAGATCATCATCGCTCTTCGTCGATAGAAATGTGATAGAGGTGCGCCTAAACAAACCAGTTTTGTAAATTTCCATAAAAACTCTCCCCCCCCCCCGCCCTTCCAATTTTGTACCTTGAATGGGCAACTCTTGCAAACGTGATATCCTCATCGGTCGGAGCGCCATCCGGTATCAATATGAACAATCGTTTGAATAATCGAAGTTTGTGGGACTCGTAGAATTTGTCGAATCCCATGTTTGCATCGAATACGGCGTTGATCGCGAAGAACGTTCGCGGATACGGTATCTCCCAGAGGACGGTTTGCTGCAAATCGCCTTCGATGAATCGAAATGGCTCCATACGATCACATGGATTTCTTCCCGCCGATTGCGGATCGCCATTGCTCAAACCGCGAAGAGCATTGATTAATGTGGATTTTCCCGCACCACTTCTTCCACAAAACCCAAAGTTTTGACGATTCTGAAACAAATTGAAACAATCGAATCAGTATCACAAATCAATACGAACCGCGTCGATGGGAAATGCACCGGTTTGATAGCTCATTCCCGCTTTGTACGTGTAATCCGAGATGGGATTATAAATTGGATAATCATCCATCGTATTCTAAAATATAGTATTCTCATAATGATTTTCAAAATATTTGTACCGCTTTAGAAGAAATTGAGCTTGTTTCCGTTTGATTATCATTATTATAACCAATTGGTGCCCTATTACTTTTGGTTGCATAGAAATCGTCCTTTTTGGGAAGTTGTGGCATCACCTTTGGCCTTTCTACAGTATTCATACCTTCGAAAAGTGCGATTTTATCCTAAAACGGAGATTGCCTTTAAAAGAACCAAAAAATTGTAACATACCTTAGCGTACATGATATTACGCTTGATAACCGGCGGGGAAACCGCTTCAGGCGGTGGTGGAATTGGGCTTCGAATTCGTTCCAACACCGATTCGCCAAATTTTTTCCTAGTGACCTCATCATGAAAAACGCCATACTTTGGTGGCTCTGCTGGCGGCGGAACGGAAGGCGGGGGCGGCGGAGGAGCTTTCTCCGGAGGATTCTCATTTGTCGTGTTTGCTGTCAATATCGGAGTTTCTTCGTAGAAGCTTTCCATACTCACACTAAAAATGAGTATTGCATTATATTAAAACAAAAAAAATCAAGTACCTTCTAGTCCCTCTTGGGCTTGGCGGTGGAGCAGACAAGAACGGATTCGGGCTATCCGGCTGATTAATCGGTGTTGGTTGAGTTATAATAATATTCGGCATTGTGTCAAAATTTCTTGTCGGAAATGCCACATGATTTTCAGCCTTCTCACCTTTCGATGTTTTATTTCCCATCTGAAATTATATATAATTTTTTTTCAACTTATTGAAATTGAATTGCAACATGGTTGTAACGGTATTGAAAACTGAAACGAAATCGGAAACACCAAAAACAGGCGTTGGTTTGAATAATTCATTCATTTGAGAGACGGCGATAGACACCCGAATATAGCGGCAAAAAAATGCGTATTGCATAAATAGATGGCGGCGTATTGAAAACCAGAATAAATGACATCGTTGCAACGGACGGCTTAAAATTTTTGCGAACCGAACTGAACGCAGTTTCGACTGTACTGAAATTGTTGTGAACAAATTTACATATTGACTCATATCATCATATAGGCATTTCATAATAAATCCTGACTTTAAAGAAATGTTAAAAATAAAATAAAGTTATGAATGGTGGTAGACTCACATAGTTGAATAGATAAATAGAGTATTCCGCGATCTTTAGCCATGGGGTTTTTCATTTTGTTGAAAGAGACAGTCGATCAACGCGCTTGAAATTGGTTTTGTGTTGATCGTTATAGAAGCTTGACGAGTCTGTAATGAAAAAAAATAAAAATTATTTTTGACATTAAAATGGGTTCCTAAAATCTTTCCGCTTTTTCTGGTTGATTTTAGAAATTACACAGTTCAAAAAAAAACCTCAGTTCCATTGAAAAAAAAAAACTTAAACATAATTAAAGGCAATGAATTTCCATATTTCCTCTATGAATTATATTTTTATTTTATTTAAATACATACACAACACATATTTATGCATTGAATTATAACAACATTTGAAATCCTACGATATTACGATATTTTATCGACTATTCGGATTGTCTACCAAATTCCAAAAGAAGATAAACCTTTACAAAAGCTGTTTGAACAATTGTGTATTTAATAATTATAGAAAAAACAACATTTTTAGAGAATTTGACATCACAATGTTAAATAAAATGGAATCCAAGCGAATTATTTGATGAACAAGTTTAAATTTTGGTATGTTATGCACAAGGAGTGTGCATTTGTCGTGTGTCGCGTTGAAAAATGTCGAACAAATTATTCGATAAAACCATTTTTTTATTTCTTAAATCTTTGTAACAATGAATCAATTCTTAAGCAGATTGTCACATATATGAATTGTACCGACAAAATCATATGATTTAGCAACGAAAAATCAAAAATGTGTCATCATTAATTAAAACGCTTCATTTTTCATCAATTTACCACGATTCCTTATGTGTTTACTTATTCTAAAATTAAAACCAATGCCCATCGCCTTAAAATATCCAATACGCGCTAATGCCGCAAATGTGGACCACCGCACAAAACCGCACCGCTTCAATTCGAATATTTTCGCGATCGCCATAAGGCGTCCTCATTTTCGTTATTAGCTCGCAATTCTTCATTATTATTCATTTTCTGCGTTTTTATTTGGATTTTTTTTGCATTTTCCGGAAGATATTGTACTTTTTTAAATTTTTGATGGATCGAACACCTGATAATTCGCAAAATCCACCCTTATCGTCTACCGTCGCATTTACCCCACCAGCAACGGAACCAACAGAAACTGTTGTGACTAGCCAATCGATTGAAGATCAGACCACTGTTACACAAGATACCGAACATAGTCATCATGAAGTAAGTTTTAAAATTTTTGGCAATTTTTGAAGTTTTGTTTCTATTTTTATTAATTGTTTCAGAAAAAATCCGTTACATTTTCGGAGAGCGCACCCACTGCTATCATTTATTTCGAAGGATCAGCTGATGGAACGCCTCATGTGAAATCAATGAAGATGACGTCGATGGGTGTTGAACAAGAAACTAGCAAAGCGGTAAAATGCCAATTGATTGAAAAGAGTAATTAACAAATTTCAGAGCACAACAAATACGATGCATCCTGACATTTAGTTCACGAATCATGTAGAAGGGGACACTTACCACACATTCAAGGTCAACGGAGTTCCAGTCTTGAACTGTTTTGTGACAACTATTACGCTTAGCAATGTAGCTGTACAAGCCGAGGTTTCGAAATATTTCACAGTCTGATAACAATAACAAATTTTAGGATCCGGTATACGAAGCTGCCGATCGAAAAGAAATGGTTGAAAATGTTAAACAGCAGAATGCTTCGGACATGCCAGAAGTCAAGGAAGTTGAAAATTCATAGAAAGTCGAGGTAGGAATATAACTATTCTTTCGCAACAACATAAAGCTATTTCAGGAAAAGACACATGATTCTGTAACTGCTTCTTCGTCAACTCTTTCTTCCAAAAATCCGACGGGAACGATACAGGACACAAATGAGAAAGCTTTACCTACTAACACAGCAAAAACTCAACATCAAACGGAGCTCGAGTCAACAACTGACAAAATACACAGCAACCTAGCCAATGGTACTGAAGGCGGTCCGATTGAAGCCGCTGGTAAAAACAGTGAACCTCTACCAACTTCGGAAAAGGCACCAGTTCCATCGAAAGTGGAGGATTCCTGCCTTGCTACCTCCAGTTCAAAGGTAAACAATTAATTGCAATAGGCAATATGAATAATGTATTTAAAGAAAGATGTGAAAGAAGCCGGATTGACCGACACTAATTCTCAACCGAAGCATGTCGAAGTAAGAATATAATAGGCCATTCTCAACGGCAAAAATTTATTTCAGGAAAATGCAAATAACCCTGTTGGAAATGCTTCTTCATCAACGCTTCCTCTCAAAAATTCAACGGGAACAACAACGAGCGTTAATAGGAAAGCTTTGCCTAAAAGCACACAAAGAATAGTTTTATAGTTAATACGTCATTCTCTCTTATTTTGATGTGATTTAGAGAAAAACACGTGGGAAGACAAATAAAAAACCAAAATCTCAGTCGAATGCAAAAACTGTCTTAAAAGAGGAGAACCGCGAATCACTGAGAACAACCAACTTCAACCGTCAACGTCAGGTCAACATCAGCCGAATCTCGAGTCAGAAATTCCTCAAAAAGTGAAAAACATCGTCGATGGTATTGAAGCCGACTCGACTGAAACCACTGGAAGTAAAATTGAACCAACGCCTGTACTCACCTCTGAAAAGTCACCAGTGTCATCGAAATTTGAGGATTCTAGACCGTCTACCACAAATTCAACGGTAAATAATGAATTCCAAGCGATTATATATTTTAATATATTTGTAGAATGATGTGAAGGAAGACAATACCTCCCAATCGGAACAATCTGTCAAATTGATAACGTCTGAGGCCTCCATTCTTCTAGAATTCGAAAATTCCTCAAAATCAGATATAGCAACATTGACCAGCATGGATATTCCTTTTGTGGTAGTTCAATGAAGTTAAAATTTTTCTCAACAATGCGTTTACAGGAAATAGACGGACAGGACTCAACTCTCACTAATCTAGACAATTGTGGCTCTCACGTAGAGAGAAATGCGTGTTTCACGGAGCAGAAAGTAGAAGATTCAGCAGACGATGACAAAAAAGTTTTTTTAAATTTCTCGTTCAGCGAGCAATAGATATTTCTCAGGATTCCGCTAGCGACATTGTCTACGAGGAAAGAGAAAGGACTGAAGGTCCAGAACAGAAAAGTGCCCCTGATAGTTCCGAACTTAAGGAAAATGATAATTCAAACGACAAAGAGGTAAATATATAATAATCATTTCACAACATTAAGATGTTACTTTAGGAAAAGTCACATAATAAAGAAAGTGACACAACATTTTTATCAACGTCACCTGCCGAGCACGAAATTGGAACCGAAACAAAGCTTGTGGCTAAATCTGATAATTTACGGTGTCCAACGCCTAAAAGAAGAACCAAGTTCTTACGGGATGAATGTTTTTTGCTAGTGGAAGAGAGCCGGCCTGAAATTAATGGTTGGCAGATGAATGATAGACCAGAGACGGTAAAGATAATTGGAATCATGCGAGATTTTGAACGTCGAAATATTTGCAGTTGAACAGTCTTTACTACCAAACACACTCTTCGTCGTCAACTCAACATCAGCCAGAGCTCGAGCCAACAATCCCTAAAACAAATGGAATCATTGTCAATGGAATTGAAGTCGGTTCGATTGAAACCGCTGCTACAAATAGGGCGCAATTCCCTCTTGTGCTCGCAGATACAAAGACACAAGTTTTGCCGACTGTGGGGGATTCCTGGCCTGTAACCACCAACTCTGAGGTTAAAAATAAACCACAGAATGTAATAACTAACAATATTTTTGTAGGAGACTGTTAAGGAAATGATTTTGACCAGCACAACGTCTCAATTGGAACAATCCATCCAATACGAAGCCATGGAGACTGCGGCTCAGGTTCTTCCAGAGGCCCAAAACATAACCAACAATTCTACGACTGAAACAATGAATAGTAACGATAATTCTTACTCAGTCAAAGTCGAAACTGATGAAACACCATTGGAATATGTCGAGTGTTCTATGAATACTTCGGTGAGAGCATTCAAAAAGCTAAATTTTGAAAATAAAATTATTTTCAGAGTGAAGAATTCGAACAATCCATTTTGATGGCATCTGTTACACCAAATAATGAACTGAATGTGATCCTGTTGAAGGACGACAAGATTGGAGAATCCAAAAGAGCAGATGCGGCATCATCGACGACCGTGGATGTATCTTCTATGGTATTTTTGATAGGATTAATGCTTTTCTGAACAATCCGTTTACAGGAGAGCAATGCAGCTGAGGTGCCAAACTCCAACGAAAAAATTGAATCATCAGAAGCTGGCTCGATCGAAGATCCAAAGACGACTAATCAAATTCGAATGGTAATACCTCGTATTTGTCCAGAATTCAATAAAATATATATTTACAGGGAGATGAGCCAATAGTCGCCGATAGCTCTGAAGCTGTCAAACCCGATGTTGCGGAGCCTGTTGTTTCAGCTCCGTCTGCGCTTGAACGCATTACTGATACTTCCATAATAGATAACCTGTCCAACACACCAGAACCAGCTCCGCCCGTTGCAGAGGGAAATGGAATTAATTTGCCCAACATCGGTCCGATTATTATGGGCGCCACTATCGGCTTTTTCATCGCAATGAAGTTGAGATAGAACTTATACTGATTTGTTCAAAACCCCATCCTGTTGTATTGTGAATGTATATTGTATGTATTTCAACGAGATGCTTGTTAAACATCTGTTTTCGTTTGTTCGAAGTTCCATATATCAATGAATCAATAAATGATATCGAACTATAAATATGAAATTGATCCCCTATTGGGAATGCACAATTACGAAAGAATTATTGAACTTGAAAAATCCTGAATATCCACACTGATTGGATATTTCTGCGATTGCTAACAAGGAAGGTGTGTTTACTTTGTGGTTTGGAGTTTTTTCTAATTTTTCACACAAACAGATCAAGAAATTGGCTATCGAGTGGGCTATGTCGTTTTCTGCAAAAAGTTCCAAAACGTTGGGTCCGAAATTTCAAGTTTTGAACCATGGTTTTTATACTTTGTTTCATGATTTTTGCCATACTTCCTCACCACGCACAAATACCCCATTTCGATGGAGCTGCGGCAAGCAGCGATGGTTCAGTAGGAAGTGTACGGGATATCAAGTAATGGTTTGTTGGTTCGTTGCCTCTTTTTGCAATTTATTTTGCAATTAATTTGTGATAAAATTTATACAAGTTTTATAATGGCTTGAAAGTTTAATTTTGTGAAATGAATAGTTGTCTCGAACGGAAATGAGACTGTGAGAAAATGGGAAGTTCATTTGATTTAAAAAAAATTTCTTCACTCGCTGCCCAACCTTATTGCAACTACCATCCTCGGTGTAGTAACAATCAACGTTCAAGATTCACGTAAGAGAAAAACATTTATGCGTGGAACATGTTTGCGCGTGCTCGACATCTTCCAAACAACGATCAAATTCTTTTCATGGAAGCACACTATCATTATCTTGTCATAGGTCGTCGATATATGATATATCGGGCGCATAAACAAGGGGGGGGAGGGGAGAAATATGCGACAAAGTTTGGATTTCTCAACATTTTCAAAAAAAAAATAACTAAATTTCTACTAAAAAGCATTTTAGATTTCTAAGAGATTTTAGATTTTTAATTTCCTCTCAAAACCATTCTTTTGAGCTTACCTCCACACTTTATGATTTTAAATATCATAACAATAAGTTGTGTATGTATACTTCATGTTTATTCATTGAAAAGTATAAAAGAGATAATTCTATGAGGATTGCAAAAGCGCTGAATGTGACCAACAAAATGTCAATTGTTATCATCATCTTATAGACAAATTGGGCTAGAAAAAAAAACGAATTTGAATAATAGACTATATAGTGTTTTGAAAATCTTAAAAATTGTACAAAACGACAAGAATGATAAAATGGGTACATAAAATCTTCAACGAGAAAATCAAAAAAAAAATCACAGCCGTATGGTAATTCTTGTAAAAAAAAACTATTGATGAGCAGTTGCTGAATGGTTTCCAGAAGCTGGTTCATTTTGAGCTGTTGGAGTGCTGGAACAGTTCTGCTCGCAATTTGGAACAGCAGGTTCTTGTGGTACTGTTTTTGCATTAGCGACTTAAAAAAACCGATAAGATATTTTTTCTATAAAATATTGCACTTACGTTTTTTCGCTAATTTGCGTCGCTCACGCCTCTTAACATTTTTCGCATGGCGTTTCATTTTCTTCAATTTACGAGCCATTTTTTTTCGCTGATTCTTTTCTGTTGAGCTTTCGGCAGTTATCACACCACTGAATAAATTTCTGATGGGTGCCTCAATCTAAAAAAAAACAATTTCAGATGAACGATTTTCATCGAATCTAACCCCGGCGTTGAAACATTTAAGAATGGCGAATTGAGCTTTTTTGGTGACTGGATGGCCATTGTAATTTTTGTCAAACACGCATGAGTAGCAAAATGGCAGAAAACTGCCAAATCCGGAGTCATCGGTAACGGCAAAACAAAACTCGATTGCATGCCCGTGTTTCGCACAGATTGCTGCTTGGTTAAGGGGTTGATACGCGATATATTTGTAGTACATATGAAGCGGCAAATGCCGTTTTTTCTTCGCCAAGTTTTGCCGGACATTTTCAGCGGCATTATTGAAATATCCATTGGCATTTGGATAAACGTTAGCATTTGGATGTCCATTTTCATTTGGAGCAACACTGTGCACAGGCTCAACAAATTTCCAAAACGTTTCTCCCTTAGCATTAACAACAATACTGTTGTACATATATTCAAAGCTCTCCGAAGCTTTTCCAAAAATGGCGCAAAATTCCGTGTAGTTGGTCACCTACAAATTTCGTTGCTGTTTGGCTAGTTAAAAAAATCTCAGTGTACCATAAAAATCCGATTCTTATAAAGAATGAGAGAAATTTGATCGTAATTGTTTTCGCTCTTCTCCCAAAGGATTGCTGAATCAAGGCATTTGGGGCATAGCAAAAAATTCAATATCAAGCGTCTGGTTCTGTCAGTAAACGAGAGTCCCGAAATAACTTGTTCGTCGTCATGCCGTCTACAGAATGTCGGGCATCCGATGAGCAGCGACCAGACCTTTTGGACTTCGACCAAATAAAGACCCTATAAAGAAAATCAATGAATGAACACATTGTGATTCATTTTACTACCAAATTGGGTAGTCCGTAAAAGTTTTCTTGAGAGTAACTAGCTACCGTTGGTGCAAGTTGGACGGCGGGCTTTGAGTCCTATAATACAATAGGTTTTAAATGTTTTACTCAAAAACGCGCAGATTCTACCGGCTTCTTAGAAATTCCTCTGGCACTGGCAGATCTTCGAGATTTTGACGATCGACTTCGTTTCCTCGGCGTATTTCTGCGCGTCGACGTTTCTTTATCAGCAGTGGTTTTACTAGACGAATTGCCCTATAATTAAAATGTATATTATTATATCTTTTTATATGTTAGCACTACCGGTTGTGGGCTAGCATTGTCTTTAGCGTTTGAGGGAGCACTTGCATCGATCTGATTAGCAGCTTCTGAGGGCTCTGGGGGATTTTGGGTAGTTGCGCAAGTATTGGAGGAAGTTGCCATGTTCGAGTCGGTCGTCTTTTTTGCCTGTGACCTCGATTCCTTTTGAGAACTATTGTTTGACGTTGTGGCGACGGTGTCATACTTTTCGACAATTTGCTCAAATGTTTGCCAGGCAAACATAAGGGACAAATTCTTGGTAATAGATTCTACCGGATCCACCTGAAATCACAATATTTACTATTTTCAACAAAATATTTGTTAATGTCTAACCGCGGGTAGCAAGTTGCCGGATGTTTCGGTATTCGTGTTGGCAACCGTCTGATGCTCTCGTTCGGTTCTCTCGCCATCGCTTGTCGTTGGGCTCGTTGAAGGTGTGTCAAGAACAGGCATCGTCGACTGAGACGATGATGCTCCTTGAGCATTTTCTGAACTCTTATTGTGATTACTGACGGATAGAGTTTCCGATGGTGTGCTTAGTGATGTCAATTGAACTGCCTCGTTCTCGGATTTGTTTGCAACTCTTGGTTCCTAAAGAATTTGAAAGGAAATTTTTTGGTTAATTTTTGGTTAAAAACGACGTACATTGCTCATTTTAAAATAAAGTGCATCGGAACCATTAAACTTGAAACTGTGAATGTTTTTGCCGGGCGATAGATCAATCGTGTTTGTCACAGTATTTGACTTCAATGGATTAAAAAAATCGTTCTTATAGGTATTGGGAACATTCTGCAAATTTTCACATATCAAATATTGATAACATTTTGGGCGATACCGGTTTCGATGAGCTAGAAGATTTCTGAGCCATCCGAACAGAAATTCGACGCGAGCCGTCTTCAAAGATTTTCATTTCAACATATGCTTGCGGTACATCACACGAGACCATCATACTCTGCAAAATAAGGGTTCCCATTCTCTCAATCAATAATAGTTTCGGTTTTTCACGAATGCGAAAATTGTCCGCACCGCTCCGAGCTTAATATTCTCTTGGCGGAGTCGAGTGAATGGAGAGCAGTCAATTTTTTTTTGCTGTTAGTTCGTTTCGAATCAAATACTATTAATATTGGTCCCAAAATGAATTAACAATTTATTGAAAAAACCCATCTTTTGGTTTTAAATTTGAAAAATTTATTTTTCAACATACCTCGGCATCTGTGCACACCATTTGATTACTTTGACTTTCTTCTCCAGCCTGACAGTTTTTCGAATTTGGATTAAGCATTTTCACCTGGGACCGTACTTTCTCCTGAAAAAAAGAATATGAAAAAGAATGGAAATACTTCAACAAATGCGGAAAAACGAGGCGATTCGAATGTTCTCAGCAAAAATAAATAAGATTAAAAGCAACGCCAAGACGGCAGTGCCCCCTGGCGGATTATCAAAAGACGCTTCCCAATTAATGCAGTGGTCCAGACTTGCCTCACTTGTTTTGCAGCGTGCACTATTCCACTTCAACAAACACACGCAGCGCTTCGCGGTTGGTGCGGTGGTCCACATTTGATTCAACAGTTTTGTGTGGTGAATCTTCTCATTCCATCAAAACACACATAAATGCAAAGTAAATCGTGAAATTCGACATATTTCAAATTTACTTTCCAAAGCGCAGTAAATATATTCAAAAAATTCGACAATGTGTTAATGAAACATATTTATTGGTAGTATTTCTTTTTTTTTTAATATTTAGCTACACAAAAACTCGATGCGCCGGTAAAATTTCTCAAACGGCATTAATTTTAGACTAATTAGTCAATAAAAATTTCCGTTTTGCAGAGGAAAAACTAAGAGAAAAAAATTAGTTAGTTTAATGTTTTTTTTTTCGATGTTTCTCCTGTGACATTGGCCTCAAGGCGCTTCTGTTATTACCTTTTACTTAATTTTTTTTTGATGATTTTTTGAATCACAAATTTCTATAAATCAAGATCAGAGCCCAACTAGATGAATGATATTTAAAGATCCAAAAAATATCATAACGAGTCCTCATGTAAGGCTATGCGAAAGCAATTCACACTTTTCATTGTCATTTTTTTCGGCTTGCAAATAAGATGTGTTGTTTAATAATCATGTATTTATACATATATGCAGATTGGAAAATTTGGAACAAAATCTCTAGTAAAATAGCATATTTCTTGATTATTAGAGGAAGACTTTTTTGACAAAATCACACGCGAGAAAGTTTAAAACAGTAGGAATGCGCGTAAATACAATATGGAAACAATAAACAAAGGTGAAAGACATGAGGTATTGAAAAGACATGGGGTTTTGAACAAATCAGTATAAGTTCTATCTCAACTTCAATGCGATGAAAAATCCGATAGTGGCGCCCATAATAATCGGACCGATGTTGGGCAAATTAATTCCATTTCCCTCTGCAACGGGCGGAGCTGGTTCTGGTGTGTTGGACAGGTTATCTATTATGGAAGTATCAGTAATGCGTTCAAGCGCAGACGGAGCTGAAGCAACAGACTCCACAACATCGGGTTTGACAGCTTCAGAGCTATCGGCAACTATTGGCTCATCTCCCTGTAAATATATAAATTATTGAATTCTGGATCATTGCGATGTGTTACCATTTGAATTTGATTAGTCGTCGTTGGATCTTCGATCGAGCCAGCTTCTGACGAGTTAATTTTTTCGTTGGAGTTTGGCACCTCAGCTGCATTGCTCTCCTGTAAACGGATTGTTCAGAAATGCATTAATCCCATAAAAAATACCATAGAAGATACATCCACGGTGGTCGATGATGCCGCATCTGCTCTTTTGGATTCTCCAATCTTGTCGCCCTTCAACAGGATCACATTCATTTCATTATTTAATGTAACAGATGCCATCAAAATGGATTGTTCGAATTCTTCACTCTGAAAATAATTTTATTTTCCAAATTTAGCTTTTTGAATTCTCTCACCGAAGTATTCATAGAACACTCGACATATTCCAATGGTGTTTCATCAGTTTCGACTTTGACTGAGTAAAAATTATCGTTACAATTCATTGTTTCAGTCGTAGAATTGTTGGTTATGTTTTGTGCCTCTGGAAGAACCTGAGCCGCAGTCTCCATGGTTTCGTATTGGATGGATTGTTCCAATTGAGACGTTGTGCTGGTCAAAATGACTTCCTTAACAGTTTCCTTCAAAAATATTGTTAGTTATTACATTCTGCGGTTTATTTTCAACCTCTGAGTTGGTGGTTACAGGCCGGGAATCCTCCACAGTCGGCAAAACTTATGTCTTTGTGTCTGCGAGCACAAGAGGGAATTGCGCCCTATTTGTAGCAGCGGTTTCAATCGAACCGACTTCAATTCCATTGACAATGTTTCCATTTGTTTTAGGGATTGTTGGCTCGAGCTCTGGCTGATGTTGAGTTGACGAAGAAAGGTGAAGTTGGCTGGAAGGACTGCTCAACTGTAAAAAAATATCGATGTTCCAATTCTAATTTGATTTCAGTTAGTTTCACCACTTGCGATCCTTGATCAGTCTCTGAACCATTGATTTCAGGCCGGGTGGTATCAACTTGCAAAATTGGCAAAAAATCAATTGTGTTGGTAAGATTTGTTGTTGATTCGCAGTCGCTTGACACATTTTCATTTGAGAGTTGGTCTGTGTCTATGAAAAGACGACTTCCGATTGTGCTTCGGAGTGCAGAGGCATCCTGGCTAAATTTGGTTCTCCTCTTAGGTGTAGGAAAAAATTTTTCATCAATCATTTGCGTATTGTTGGAACTGCCACGTTCCTTGTCTTGAGGGGTGTCAGGTGAATTCTGTTGTTTAAGTCTTTCTGTCTTTTCTCTTTCCTCGGCGATCATTTCGTTAATTGACTTCTTAATACATTTATGGTTTATTTCTTGAACGAGGAATTTTCAGAAACTTTTTTGTAATCGTCCGTTGAGTCTTTTATTTGCTGGGTTTTCGAAGACGCATTAGTTTCTGAGTAAGAATTGACTTGATTTATAGAAGTTGATTCATGATTTTCTTTTTCCTGAAAATATGTTGATGAGAAAAAGTTTGAATTCATTTTACTACAGTAGAAGGCAAATCCATGTTGGTCAATGTTGCCACAACTGATTTCAAGACAAATTCGTTAAAAACGAAGGGTTCAGTCTCAATCGATTTGGATTTGACGTTTTCCTCCGGTGGAGAACAATTTTTTGTTTTAGTTCCCGTTGGATTTTTGGCTGGAAGCGTTGATGAAGAAGCATTTCCAGGGTTATGTGCATTTTCCTGAAAAAAAATTTTTGCCGTTGAGTATGGATCATTATATTCCTACTTCGACATGCTCCGGTTGAGAATTACTGTCGGTCAATCCGGCTTCTTTCACATCTTTCTTTAAATACATTATTACATATTGCCTATTGCAATTAATTGTTTACCTTTGAACTGGAGGTAGCAAGGCAGGAATCCTCCACTTTCGATGGAACTGGTGCCTTTTCCGAAGTTGGTAGAGGTTCACTGTTTTTACCAGCGGCTTTAATCGGACCGCCTTCAGTATTATTGGCTAGGTTGCTGTGTGTTTTATCAGTTGTTGACTCGAACTCCGGTTGATGTTGAGTTTTTGCTGTGTTAGTAGGTAAAGCTTTCTCATTTGTGTCCTGTATCGTTCCCGTCGGATTTTTGGAAGAAAGAGTTAACGAAGAAGCAGTTCGAGCATCATGTGTCTTTTCCTGAAATAGCTTTCTGTTGTTGCGAAAGGATAGTTATATTCCTACCTCGACTTTCTGTGAATTTTCAACTTCCTTGACTTCTGGCATGTCCGAAGCATTCTGCTGTTTAACATCGTCAACCATTTCTTTTCGATCGGCAGCTTCGTATACCGGATCCTAAAATTTGTTATTGTTATCAGACTGTGAAATATTTCGAAACCTCGGCTTGTACAGCTACATTGCTAAGCGTAATAATTCTCACAAAACAGTTCAATACTGGAACTCCGTTGACCTTGAATGTGTGATAAGTGTCCCCTTCTGCAAGATCCGTGAACGAAATGTCAGGATGCTTCGTATTTGTTGTGCTCTGAAATTTGTTAATTACCCTTTTCAATCAATTGGCATTTTACCGCTTTGCTAGTTTCTTGTTCAACACCCATCGACGTCATCTTCATTGATTTCACATGAGGCTTTCCATCAGCTGATCCTTCGAAATAAATGATAGCAGTGGGTGCGCTCTCCGAAAATGTAACGGATTTTTTCTGAAACAATAAATAAACATAGAAACAAAACTTCAAAAATTGCGAAAAATTTCAAAACTTACTTCATGATGATTATGTTCAGTATCTTGTGTAACAGTGGTCTGATCTTCAGTCGATTGACTAGTCACAACAGTTTCTGTTTGTTCCGTTGCTGGTGGGGTAAATGCGACGGTAGACGATAAGGGTGGATTTTGCGAATTATCAGGTGTTCGATCCATCTAAAATTTAAAAAAGTACAATATTTTCCGGAAAATGCAAAAAAAAAAAATCCAGATAAAATCGCATAAAATGAATAATGATGAAGAATTGCGAGCTAAATGAGGACGCCTTATGGCGATCGCGAAAATATTCGAATTGACGCGGTGCGGTTTTGTGCGGTGGTCCACATTTGCGGTATTAGCGCGTGTTAAACTCTTTGCTTTGTTTGGTCATCAGCAGTCTCTATATTATACCATACTCTCTAATTTGCGATAATTTAAATGTCTCCTAACGAATTAGTGTATATATATATATATATTACGTATATAACCAATTGTTTGAAAATCAAATAATATCTGAAAACTTTTTTGAGACTTTCAGTTTTTTCTACATTTAAGCCATTCAAAAACAACAATTTTTATATAACGCAAGTAGATGAGAAATTGGGTTGAAGTGAGAATAAAATTGAGCATTGGGACAAATAACAGCGAACATTTTAATCTCAGGTCAATGTTTCGTTGCAAGCCCTTATGAGTTGATCAGCAACCAGTTCCGGATAATTGGTAATTCTGAAAACAAAATTTCTTGAAATAAAAGTACACATTGCGTACCCCGAGTACTGGAAAATGGAGACTGCTTTGGTTATTTCCTCCGAGGCAAACATCAACGGTGCGGGAAGCGTTGCCGTTGAATTTTTTATCTGAGACAAGAAGCAAAGCTGAAAGGTCCTTAATTCCAAATCGTCCATACTATTCCCATTCTCGTCAAGCAACACGGTATATTTGGGTGGCCTCAAAGACTCCTAAAGGGATGATAATTTAATGTGCAAGATTCATAACGTCATACGCTCTTCACTGAATGAGCTGCGAGAAAGAATTCGTTTTGCTCTGAGCTCACGATCACATTGTCAATAACTGTTCCAGGTTTGAGGTGTTGCTTCGGGATCGGGTCTTGCATGAATACATTCTGTAATATTCTCAAAATGTTGTATTTTTTGTCAAAAACACTTACATTTTGAAATACTTCTATCTTGTGATTGTTCGAAACTGAGATAACTGTGAACTTTGGCACTAATAATTTCATATTCTTGCAAAAATCGTCAATAATCTGTTTGATCTAGAAATGAAGTTTTTTCATTGTTTTTGTAAATCTCTTTACCATATTCATATCATATTGGATTTTGATTACATCATTGAAGTAGATAATAATTTCATTTGGAAATGGGCGATTCGCTGATGCTTCACGTACAAGATTAAAGGCGATAATTTTAATCATTTCCATACAGTTCTGAAAGGGTATCATTTAATTTATACAAATTTGAGAATTTTTCACCTCGAATTTGCTGAAACGAAAACCGTGCTTAAATCTTTGCGGATGTGCGATGTTTGCCGAATAACCAATGATCAACGGTCTCTGAATATTGATATTTTATTCAACCGCCGTTACACTGGTATTCCATCTCACCCTTGTCATTGCATCTTCTTCCATAAAATCAAATCCGATTATTAGAGTTGTATTCGTGAAAAATGGACTGTAAAAAGGAAAAGTCTTAGAGCATAATAATAATAATAATAATAATAATAAATACCTATCGCTGATCTCGTGATTCCAGCCATCATTGTTAAAATTCATCTGAAATTACATATACTGATGGGATTTCGCTAATATATCATACTCTACAAACAGCCGATTGCATTAGCTGCCATTTGTTCATTGCAGCAACAGATGTGCGCATAACTTGAGAATTTATATGATAGGTATGGCTCAGACTCGGCGCAAATTGATGAATATTGAGCTTATCATTTGCAATTATAAAAATAAATGTAATACCATTCGCACGCCCGATTTCGAAAACATTCTAAACGAACAAATTTTTTTGCCGATTCATCAAATTAAATATACCTTGAGATATGCATACTCGAAATTTTCTATAAAAGTAATATGTGGCTGATCAAATCGGATGCCGTGAATTTTCATATTTTTTTGCTATTGGCTGAAATATTCACGTGGGTCAACTATCTGCGATTCGACGAATAGGATCATCCAATTGTTCAGAGTGGCTGGCTTTTTGAAGATGTCGACTTTCCAAAAGCTCTGAAACACCTAGACATTTCCAATTTCCAATAATTCGTCCTCACCAAATCTTTCATTTCGTGACTACTATTTGCATATTCGACAATCGGGGAAGGAAGAATGCGGGCGTTCACCTTTTGGAAATTTGGCGATAAGTTGTAGAAGGTGCCCTTCACCTTGGAAGGGAAAATATGGTTCATTAAGCGTCGGCATTCCTTTTTACGAACTGCTGGTGTGCTTTCCACTTTCTGAATATTTCTTACTACAAATTTGTCAATTAAAAATAATAAATACCCTTTTAAGGAAACATTGCTCTTCTTTTTTGAGTTGAGCAACTTGATTGCCAACAACGGTCAACACCTCAATTGGAAAATGAACGAGCTCATCACCTCTTTGTACTAATGCTGTCATATATTCAGGATGATTCAGTTTGGTCAAATATTCCTTTTCAAAGTAGAAATCTAAAGTGACCTCTCTTCCATTCATTTTGTGGCCAAATTCTTTCGTGTTCGCTGGAGGTCCAAATCCTTTGAGCGTGACAATTTCAGCTTCATCGCCGAACCCGCGCGTTTGGACGTGATGAATATAACATGCCAAGTCTTGAACATATTGAAGCAAATCATTCGCTTCCACACTATTAAACTCCAAATTTTTGAAATTGCTGTCCCATTCAGCCAGTACATCAGAGAGTTTAATTGAATCCTTATAACATTCCATTTTGACCACTAAAAACAAATTGATAATTTTGATTTAAATTAATTAATGTTACCGTCAGTTATTAAATATATATCTGAACCACTGCTTCCTTCTAGAGCCTGAACCGTTGTATTCAAGCCTTCCGCGTAATATTTGCAGTAACGCGTAAGACTTGCAATACTACTGAAAGTCAAAAACTAGAAAACAAAATTTTTAATTTCGTACCTGGGAAATGGTTCGATTATATAGTGGTTACATCCATCAACAGTTATGATATTCTTTTTATTTAGTGGTCCTTGATTAATTGCCGAATGCAGAATTTTGAGCAACTCATTACTCGGTTTTCCTTCGAAGCTTGTTGAAATTTCATATTCTTCCGATGCTTTCTTTATTATGAACAACACCGATTTTGCTGGTAGTTTTGTCACTTCACACGGCGGAATGTTTAACTCGTACTGAAATTGATAATGCTGAAAATCGTGTATTGAAAACAACTTGGTTTTTCGTAAATGGTTTCGTCGTGTAGAGGCGCCCCTTGCCATCGTATATATATTCAATTCCGGTCTCAAATATTGTGTCTTTTTTCTTTCGTAGGAACTTGTAGCACTTCCAGCAAAATCCACGAGCCTTTTCGTTTCTAAGCCTGAAATTCTAGCATTCATTTCTGAGTAAATTACATTCAACTTACTGGTTATCAAATGTTTTAGACATGTTTTTGTACTCTGTTTCAGCTCCATTGGTGGACATCAAATGTATATTCACATGATACTTAAAAATCTTCATTCCACGAGTGATATCTGAAATTTATTATTTTAATTATCATTATTGAAATCATGTTGGAGGTTTGGTACCAATTTTTTTAATATTAGTGGTGCACGTAACAATTGGTCCTAGGGTTCCTGGTGGCAGTTTTGATGGAACATTTGGTTGGAGAGTTGCGTTCGACATTGCTCTTGAATTTAATTCGAAGTTGCTGAAAACCAACGTGAATGAAACAGAATATGCCAGAAGGCTGATTTTGGCCGAAAAGGAAAATGGTAGGAAAAAAATCAGAAATGATGAATTATGCGCTCCAGGCACCACCTTTTATTCCGCAAAATTCCCATTATTTTTTAATATGATTAGGCCAATAATTCGATCATAAATTTGTTCCGTCGTCGACAATTGTTCAAAAATGAACCATGGTTTGACGATTATTTTTTATTTGAAATCGAATGAATCCAAAAATATCTTATTGTAGGAAATGGTGATGGGATCCATGAGCATGAACGTATTAAAAAAATGGAAATAAGCGGAAGAGATTCAAATTCATTATGGGGACAATCGACAAATGTCGATTTGGCAGGCGCCAAAAAGCGCGGACGCTGCCGCCCTTGATTGCTCATCTACCACGGTCCGCCTATGATGACACATTTGTGCACTATCAAAACATTCGCCGACAATTTTTGAATGATGGTAAAGTAGCTATTTTTAAACTTTGATTGCGAAACCAAAAATTATGAAAAGGAAAATACATTTCAATGATTAAAATTTAAGAAATCCATTAAAATTCGCAAGGATGTTCTTTTAAATTGGAAGCTATTTGAAAATCCAAAAAGTCTGATATTTTCCATTTTTGTTAAAATTTCAAGATCATAAAAATTATCAACAAATTGAAAAAATTTTCAAGCTAAGGTTACTGTAGGGGTTTTCTTAAATGTACACGCTAAACCTGGGAAAAATAAGAATTCAAGAATAGGCTTAAAAATTTAGGATATGAACTTATTAAATGTTTTAATCTTAAAATACTATCGGTTTCTATTGAATAATAATTTTATCGTTTTATTAAATTAAAAAAATCACTGAAAATGCTGAAAACCAAGCTAAGAGACAATTCCGGGAAAAATCTACCGAAAAATGTCCTGACCGGTATTTTCTGCATACCGATAGCTCTATTTAAACACCACTAATTGTTTTTTGTTTTTATTTTATTTTGTGACAAAAATAAACAACAAAGCCTAATTAATTCAATTAATTCATATAGAAAATAAACATTTGAAAAGTGACAAATAAAATAATTTGATTTTCATTATTTTTTGATCCACTTTTTAATTATTATCAATTTTTGTGAGTTGACTTGTAAAGTTGGCATGAAAGAAATAATTTCTATTGAAATCTTCAGCAATCAACTACTGTATTTTTAATTTACGTCCAAATAAAGGTTCATTGCTTAATCTTTACTTTTTTAAATTCCGGATTAACACATTTATAAACGCGATTTTTCTGATATAATAGAAAACTTTTTCATTTTTTTTGCTACTTTTTTTGTAAAAATCGTTATATTTATTTCGTTTTTTTTAATTGCAAAGTTTCCCAAAAATGACCACGTGGCGATTATTCAAATGATGTTTTTTGTTTCCATAAATGCCTTAAAAATTAGATGCTTCATCAATCCCTCTAACTTCATTTGCCCACGAAGCGATGAGGTGTAAAATATTTCGAAAGATACCATTTGCGTGTCGCTGAATTATTTATGAATGAAGAGGTGTGCCCAATATGGACATCTGGACATATTTCTCATAATATTACTGATCATCCGACAAAATGGTGAGTTCTTCAAGAGTATTTCATTCAATTCAAAACTGTTTTTTTCAGTTTGGTTTTATTCACGAAAGTATTCGACAGTTAATGATACGTTCCTATGGCGAAGAATTTTGGTCAAAAGTTCTGTATGTTGAAATATTAATCAATAAATGAATATTGTTGCCATTGTTTAGCGATCGTGCCGGATTTGAAGCTGGAAAGGAAAATATAATAAATCATTATTATTCGGACCATGACACCTACACATTAGTTGATGCTGTCAGCGTACTTTTGAGTGAGTTCCAACATTGAATATTATACCAAATTTTGAGCATTTCAGAAGTTTCGCGTGAGCAGGTTTGGGAAATGTATGGTGCATTTCTTATTCAATACACTATGGAAACTGGCTGGGATGATCTCATTCGATCGATGAGTCCCAATCTGAAAGGGTTCCTTGATAATCTCGATTCTCTACATTATTTTATCGATCACGTCGTTTACATGGCCAATTTGCGTGGCCCTTCATTCAGGTGGGAGTTTTTCATTTAAAAAATGTACAAAAAATCAATTCCGTTGCGGGGAATCGAACCCCGGCCTTATGGGTGAGAGCCATAAATCATAACCACTAGACCACAACGGACACATTAGCCAAGCCAACGAAGCGCGCTTATGTGTGTGCTTGCCGGCGGCAACGCTGACCGTCTGCGCTCTCTTCATCACGTCGCTATTCTGCAAACCACATTAGTTTACCACACAGATGCGAGGACAATCCTGATGGAACCATCACACTTCATTACTACACGGGAAGACCCGGATTGTACCCGATCGTGAAGGGCGTACTGCGAGAAGCGGCGAAAAGAATATTCAATATTGATGTGTCGGTGACAATAACTGGAAGAACGCAGAGAAGCGTTCAAATGTCGTCTGGCGAAAGGACCGAAGAGCACGTCATATTTTTGATCAAACCTCAGAATAGCGATCAATCCAATGAAGATGCATTGGGAACTGCCGTTGTGCATCATGTAAATAATTACAAGCTGAGGTGAAATCAAATAAGACGCTTCTTGATTTATTTTGCAATCTTAACAGACTTACTCATAGCGATTTTGTGAGCACATTTCCGTATCATATGGTTATCGATCAAGATTGTAAGATTGTGCAAGTCGGAAAAGATTTATTGTAATTATCTAATTATCTTATATTGATTCATTTTTTTATTAAGCAATCACATTCCGAAAGATCTTCTAACCGTTGGCACTTCTTTATTAAGGGTTTTTGAAATTACCCGACCACAGATTCCGTTGGATTTTGATAGTATTTGCAATTTTATCAATGCAGTTTTTGTCTTGCAGGTTTGAAAAGAAATAATTGAATATTATAAAAATGGTTATTCAGGTGAAGACAACATCCATGGAGTTTCAGAAGAATGCTACAAAGCGTGTTAGTCAAGCATTGGATGAAATGAACGTTGAGTAAGTTGTGTCATAATAAACCAATATTTATGTAAATTCCAACAAAAGTTTTCTTAATTTGTTTAGAAAGGCGATTGAGGAAAATGGTGACTCCTCACTTGCTCCATTGACTCAAAGTCAGCATTTGAAACTCAAAGGGCAAATGATGATGATGTCCACTGGTCAGTGGCACATACGAATTAAAAATTAAGCAATTCAAAGTTTTATTCAAGGCAAACATATAATGTATCTCTGCTCACCGTATGTCACATCAGTCCCGGAACTTCTCCAATACGGCCTTCGACTAACGGCGATCCCTCTTCATGACGCGACACGCGATCTCATACTTCTTAATCAACAGCGCTTGTCGGATGTGGAAATGAAGTCGTTTATCAATATTGACAATTTATTCATGAGAATGAGTTCAGCATACAACTTGAAGCCAACAACGAGCAACTCGAGAATATGGCGAGGGATCTTGAAAGCGAGAAAGGCAAAACCGACGCGCTTCTGAAGGAAATGCTGCCGACGTCGGTGGCTCAACAATTGAAACAGGGCCTCAGCGTGGATGCTAGTAATCAATTTTTTAAGTGCCGAATTAAATAGCGATATCGATTCAGGGGAGTATGATTTGGCGACGGTGATGTTTACAGACGTTCCAACATTTCAGTCAATTGTTCCGCAATGCGAACCCAGAGATATAGTTCATCTATTGAATGAGCTTTTCACAAAGTTTGACCGATTAATTGGCTTGCAAAATGTCGGCAGCACAAATTTTTTCAAAAATTTTCAAAATTTCGTTCATTTCAGGCTTATAAGGTTGAAACCGTTGGAGATAGTTATATGTCGGTTGGCGGAATTCCAGATGTCGTCGATAATCATTGCGAAGTAATTTGCCATTTAGCTTTAGGTATATTCATGGTGCCATAATTAAATGGTGAAAAGTGATTAAGGTATGATCATGGAGGCTCGTACCGTATGCGATCCGATCACAAATACTCCATTGCATATTCGTGCGGGAATCCACTCGGGACCAGTTGTAGCGGGAGTTGTCGGAGCAAAAATGCCGAGGTCAGTTTTATAGGATCATTTTTTGCTCTTTTTTAAAGAACTTGAATTTTTCTATATGATAGACTGTTTCAGATATTGTCTTTTTGGTGATACGGTAAATACAGCATCAAGAATGGAGAGCCATAGTCCAGTTGGTCGAATTCATTGCTCGGAAAATGCGAAAAAGTGCGCTGAATCGACTGGGAGATTCGAATTTGAAAGTCGCGGAAAAGTGCCAATTAAAGGCAAAGGCGAAATGAGCACATATTTTCTTCTCAGAAGCTATAAAAAATCAGTATGGGAAATTATTGAAAGAAAACGAGGTTATTTGCAAATCAAGCTAATCATATGGATGCATGGTTTTAGATGAAAGCACGCAGAGCATCGACGGCTACGCGGAACTCCGTGAAGGCTATCTGGACGACTCAACGCTTAAAATCAATCAGAAGCGTTCAAGAACCTGCATTGTATCTTAATTGCATATTATATCTTATTTTAAGAAAAAAACATATTTTGATCCTGCTCTCACATTTATTTTATTTGCGAACCACAATTCTCGGAAATTGTTGTGACGCACTTGAAACAATGAAATTCTGCCATCTTTTTTTCCAATTTCTTTTTTCTTCTTCTTCTTTTCCGTTGACAAAGTCGACCAACTCAATTAATGCAAGAATATGAAAGAATTTGAAGAGGGCAATAGGAAAATTTTAAAACGAAGGAACGCTCTTTTCTTGTGTGCATTCGATTTGAAGCTTTCATATTTCCCTTACTTCGGGGCAAACAATAATTAATTTCTGGTATTCAAAGGTACATATGTCAATATTATATAAAGTCTCACCTATTTTGAAATTCATATTCGTCGGGAAAATGTTATGACGCCCACCTTTAGCATCACCACATACTATTTCAAATATCAAATTTCAGCCTATTGCGTCGAAATTCTTCAGCTTTAGGTGGGAATCTATAAAATATTCGAGGACCTGAATAATTATACAATTAATTATGCATGTTAGACCTCAATTCTAGACATCCCATTAATTATCACAATTTTTGATCAATCCTCCCCATCTCTAATTGAGACGACGAAAATAACTCTTCATGGGTAGTACTTCTTTATAAGGTTTTCCATTTGAATACACAATCTTACATGTGGCAAAGTAGACTTGAAAAATAGTAGAAGGAAATTGAAGCGAATGGCGACATCGATAAAAATCGCGTATTTTTCATTCATTTTCACGTTGCGGTTTTCATTTGACGTGCGTTCTCGATTATTTTAAAAAATTTATTGTGTCTTTCGCTTTTTTTTGTTTCCAAAACGATTATTTCGTCGCCATTAAGTATTTTGGTGAATAGAAACATTTTAAACATAATGACACACTAACTATGGGGGGTGGATGTAGGCTATTTTAGAATCCTTTGTTCTCTATAAGTATTCTGAATAATATTTACAGAGCACTGATTTTTTTTATTTCAAATATATTCTTTTATTATGAATTATTACGTAAACCGGAAAATAAGATTTCAATTTGGTGGATTTTAAAGCAAACGAAATTTTCGAAGCCCCTTAGAACTCACTGATCAGAATTTTTTAACCAAGGGTTTTCAGCCAAGAGCTTCTTCTAGGAAACGTTCAGACGGCTTTACAGGCTACTCCCACTAGACATCATCGGTATTTCGTTGATATATGTATATTGACGGATCCAATTCAATCCGACGCTAAATTCTATTTTAACCCAAGTCTGGAAAAATTGCGATAAAGTTTTACATACAGCAAATTTTGGATTCTCTCTATCTTTTCACTTGAACACCTATCTGCCAGCTTTTCAATTAATTTATATGCTCCCACATTGTTAGATTAGAAAGAGCGAGAGAATCATTGAGCTGAGAGCTTGAGGTCAGACATTCCAACCTAGATTTCCTCTTATCTGTCGACGCTCTTCTAAATTTCAAATTGAATCAAACCATTTTTAAATATCTCAAATTCTGTTTCGTGTTTTTGATGACATGTTTAGGAAAAAAATATATAACTATTCGTAATATTTTAAGCTTGTTTACGCATTCCATAAAATAACCGCAGAATTCTTAAATTATTGAAAAAAAATTCATCTTCAATTCATTAAAATTTAAATTGCCATTGTTTTTGAATCGTTAGCAATGAGCTCGGATAATATTCTGCAAAAAGCGAAAAAAAAAGAAATTTGTTGCGTAACCACAATCTAGTTAGCCGCTAATTCGTATCTCTCAATTCCTTGAGGTCAATCCTTCCCTGTTCCTTCGTTTTAATCCGCGCAAAATGTTCTCTGAACCACTTCAAATACTTTATGGAAATAAAATCGCGATTGATTTGGTTGTCCCCCCCCCCAAAAATTGCACACTCGTTCTTCTTTTTTCACATTTTTTTGAAAGATGAATAAAAATCAGAAAATAATAATATTTTCTAGCCTCCTGGTTTTCAAAAAAATGCATTCTAATAATAGGATAAATTTTGAATTTCGGTTTCCTTGTTTATTCATATTAAATTATATATAGAAAACAAAACGCCTAACGAAAAATCTAAATTTATCACACATCCAGCTGTCAAGATCATAAATTGTATTTGAAAAGAATTATTTTTAGAAATATATAAACTCGAGATTTATATTTTTTTAAATATTCGCTCACAAAAAACTTTCTCACAAGGTTGCAATGAGGAACTCCATTCCTCATTGTCATTCATATCGGAAATCGTCATACAAAAAAAAAAGAATATTTAGAACTCCGCGTGGGATTTTACCCTATTCATATATATATATACATATATAAATTATTTCCTCGTCAATTCTCCGCGTAATGGGCTTATTCGCCTAACCAATTTAACCTTTTGATGTATTACTTTTTGGTGATTTGACAATTTTTTTGCAAATTCTAAAAAGGCCTTTCTACCAAGCCGAAGAGAGCTATTATCGGTCAGGATTAGGGCAAAGTTGCTTCATGATCTGGTTTGCTCAAAAAAAAAATTGAACCGTCGATGTTTGTGCTATTCAAGGTCTTCAGAAAACACGCATTTTGTCAGATATTCAACATTTATGTGCTTGTTTTTTTCCGAGAACTCGTTGTTTTTAAGCGTCGAGTATTTTGTTATGAATACTTTTTCAAATGCTAGAAATAATATCCTAGACTATCTGAATGTCAATTACAATGTTGAATTGAAATCGGAAAAAAAAACAACCAACTCTGCGAACATTCGTGTATCGAGACTTCAAACAGAATGTATCATTTTATTTTATTTCGTTTTTCTTTAAAATATTGATGCCCCAAGATATTTGCTTTCAAATTAAAGACTACGTATTCCCTTGGGGGTGAAATCTAGAACAATCTCAAACATCAGAGTGAATCTTTCTCAAATTTTCTTAAATTTTTAACGTACAGTAAAAACAGGTGATTACAAATGTCTCGCAATGAATAGAGGCGATCATGAATCTTTAATTTGTGATGCTTAAAATTTGGTTTTTCAGATTATCACGTACGTTTTTCTTTGCAGGTCTTTACAGCTAGGCTTAAATAATCTCGTTTTTTACAGTAAGAAAAGGCACTTAAATTGTGCAAGATTCCTAAAATGAAGAATATTTGAATTCAAATCTGAAAGTGAGGAGTATTTCATGGAAAACTACAAAAGATAATTTTTTGAGATCAAATATTTTCATCACATAGTTTTAGGGAAATGCCGACCTCACTTCAAAAATGTTTAGTTTATCCCAGAATCACAAAAACTAGAATATAGCGGAGGGAGACAAATTAAAAATACCACAAAACTACATATAAACGGAAGTGCGTGTGCTTTTTTTCTGATCTTCAAACACGGCAAAGTGTGACTAATTAAGATTGAAGCTTCTCCTTCCGAAACATCAAATATGGGCTCACGTGTGTCGAAAAAAAAACATCCAGTCGCCCTTTCCCACTTCGGCATTGTGAGACCGCGTCCAATTTGTAATAAAATTATCGACACTCTAGAGGCCCAATTTAAAATCATCATCGTCCTTGTCTCAACTTCTTTCTCACAACATCATTTGTGTTAATTCAGGAAGTGAAACACGCGCATTTCAGGAACATTTTCGTCGTCGTCGTCCACAAGTTTTTTTTGGGCTCCGTCCCAAATTGTGCCCTCTTCTCGACCACGGCCCCCCCAATCCACCAATCCTAATTCATTTTTCTTTTCCGAGAAGAAATGAAATTCCCTTCCATTTTTCAAATGCGTGACAGCAAAAAAATAGAAAATGAGAAAAAAGTTACTTTGGTTTTGGGCGCGTTCATTTATCAACCCACTTATGATGAATATGTGGCTTTTACTGGTAATTCTGTGTTTTTCTTCTTTTGGCAAATCCCATTTTTTTGTTTTTTACTTGGATACGTACTACTGTGTCAATTACCATAAAAATAATAACACACAACATCTTACTTCAATCTTTAATGTCTTATTGTTATATCGAAGAACAATGTATTTAATTTTCTCGCATAGCTCATTTTAAAGTCGAATTTTTTTTCCAGAAACTTGGGAATCCTTCGTGGTTATATTAATTGAAGCAGAAGACGCAACTATGAATTACATAATGGTGAGTTAATATACAATCATTTAGGTCCCCAAAACGATTTCCTTAAGGAAGCTTATTGCTGCAGACCAGAATCTATTGAAAATTTATATTCTTTGCGAAGACGTTTCAAAATTTCACATAAGTAACTTGGTCCTGCAATAATTTACACCTAGGCCGACTATTTTACACCTACAGTATACTTCAAAGGCGCATTCAAACTTTTTTTGTCCCCCCATGTCTTCCCATCAATTATCTTTCCATCAAGAATTAGAACTAAATTTGTTTTTTTTTGTTCTCTTATTCAAATTTTCGAAATTTGTTTCTCTTCGACGATGGGTCAAATTTTATATCAATTCTTTATAGCACATTTATGCATGTGCCTTTAATGTATACTGTATGTCTTTGATACAAAACGAATACTTGACAAACTTGCCAGGTGCCAGACAAACTCGCCAAGTTCAAACATTTACACACGACGCCCCCTTACCCGACAGAATACGAATTACATATATATTATTAGTACATTCAGGTTATTGACATAAACAATTTTTTAAAAACTATCTGAAAATATCTGGATTGACTTCCGTTTAATGTGATTTGATGTTGTGCTTAAATCTACCTTTCAAGTTTTAGAAATAAGAAATGATGTCAATATGACAGTATAGGACTACTAATTCGAACAAGTTTAATTTAAGCAGTATAAAAATAGTTAAGAATAAGTAGAGTGTAGTTGTGACTAAATATTATAATTGCAATTATTATTATTATTTATAATAATTAAAATTATAATTTTTCAATGATGCATATTTGAGGTTTCCTAACTTTTCAAAAAAAAACGAAAGAAATCAGGAATTCAGCATTGTGCGAAATTTATTATTTTCAGCAAAATTCTTAAAACTTGAATCTTT